AAGGTGAACAGCCTTCTGTACCTGATACATGGTGACGATTGTTCAGTTTAACGTATACCGGTTTCCTTTCATCGTAGAAGCGAATGTTAAATGCGTTCATAGACACAAAAATACATTGATAATGAAGAAAAATGCACTGCTTATATTTTCACAAGATTAAGCTGTTTCTTGTTTTACATCACTTATTATGTGTTTAGTTTTAGTATTAGTGGGAACAAACCGTGATCCATGTGGTATCTAATTATTTCAGTATAATTAGTATTATTATTATTTTCTTATGTAGCCAAGTCCACATTTCAAGGATCGTCATGCTCGCTTAAATGTCATTGATTGTAGTGGCGTCCATGCGTCGGGTTGTCTCTCTCCCTAAAATATGGCGAGGGGGCCGATGGCTGGCCATGCGTCATACTCGAGAACGGGTGGTACTTGTGGTGATTGGTCGTACTTGAATTCGCGTATGCGGTGATATTAGTTATTTCGACTATGTGTTTGCATGTTGTTCCCACAAAAATGTAAGTGCGTGCTCCTATTTAACCATACCTCCTGCTGATAGAGGACGTCTTTGTTTTTAATATATGTTATTATTATTAATTACTTAAGATGTCATGTGGAACATGGTGTAATGGTTGCAGCTCCTTACAAACGTTGTGTAAAAAAAAACTTTGCGATTAAAAAGAGTGGCGGAGAGTTTATTGCCAGTTCTTCTCTTCCGTTCTACGCCCTTTATTTTAAGAACTGGCACTAAATGTAAAGTTAGAAGCATTTCATATACATTTTTTTGACGATCATAAGTGTACATTGTGTTACCTATATGATTAAATTAATTTTGAATTTGAATTATATTAGGTACCTACAATATTCCAGTATGGTTTTAACTGAAAGAAAAGCTTAAGTGAAGTCAACACAAAGTATTCTAGTAGGTATAGGAAAAAGCTTTAAATGGTTTAAGAGCTTCAAGCAGCATTTAATAAATGAGTTTACGACGTTTTAATGTTAATTACGAAAGAATAAGAAAGAAAGACGTCTTAATTATTATCTTAGCCAACAGATACCTGAAGAGCAGGCCGGCAAAGAAATGTTCGAACCAATTTTTACAATCACCGAATCATCGAAAAGTGTAAGGAATTCAACACCCTCGTGATCTTATGCTTTACTATACAAAAGTCTTTGACTATGTACAATAGAACAAACTGTGAAAGGTTCTACTTAAATTGTTAGCTCCTGTGAACACCTCTTTTGGTTTTGGTTGGTTAGGTTTGGTTTTATAGAAGGAATGGACGACGAAGTGAAGAGAGTAAATTATTAAGGCTATTGAGAATAATAAAAGAGGAACGAGTGAGATAAATGGAAACTATAGAAATAGAGAGGCTTCATTAGAGATTAATGAAGAAAACGCTATTTCAGAAAAATTTAGTTCCTGACAAGTAATGCTACGCAACCATGGCCATCAAATCTATCATCACGCAAGCAGGTATATCCAGGGATCCTAAATAGGTACCCTGGCTTCAACCACGTCTCAAATATATTAAATCATGTTTCTTTGGAACAACACTCCTGCAATTCAATTGGATTAGCGTGCAATCCATTATATTTTTAATAACATTAATTGATATTACTTTTTCATTTATAAAAGCAACGTGGGACGGTTTCAGTAAGTGTGAGTTTATTAAAGTAGTTAATAATGCTAGTATCATTTCTAAGACATCATATTTTTCTTCCTCTTTATTTTTGTGACCAACCAAAGCACTGCCATTTTTAGGCTCTGGAACTTGGAAGTCTTTAAAATATACATTATTAAGAGCAACACGATCATAACCATGTCGAGGTTTAGGAGGAGAGCGAGGTTTTAAGAATATGGTCTTTTTGTATGAGCTATTACTAGAATTATTACGAGATACAGACTTCGCCGCGGAAGAAAGAATATGCGCGTTTTGGTGCTTCCGGAATTGTTGAACTTAATGCATCTGCGTATGAAGGCTTAACAGAAGGAAAATATTTACTGACTTCGGCATTAGACATGCAGCTCTGAGCCATTTTAACTTTGATTTCTGTCTTTCTCACAAACTCTGGACATGACTTATCTATCACTGACCTTCGACTTCTCAGATTACACAGTACAGAGGATCTTCATCTGACCTGTCACATGATTCACCTGCATGTTGACCTCCACAGTTATAAAATACTGCTGGAGTCTTAGAACGACATTGAACTTTGGTATGACCATAACGGCAGCATTTATTGCATTGTATCTTAGAATAAATATATATCTCTTCTGTAAGAGCATTATAGCACATGAAAATCCTTTTTGGTAAAACTTGCCCATCAAATATTATTACAACTGATTCAGCGGGTTTCCGAGTCATTAATTTTCACCTTGCGATTCAAACGTCTTATTTTAAGTATTTTGTCGCAGCCTATAGGTACGGATACATTTTGTTGAACTTCCTCCACACTACAATCTACAAGGACCCCGCGAACTAGCCCCATTCTTGTTACGCTGAAAGTGGGAATGAAGGCTTTTAACTTTTTCGTTTCCAAAAGATTGCAGTTAAGATAATTATTGGCGTCTTGATAATCGAAAAAGCCAACTAGGTACGCACCTGTTTCTTCCTATACACTTTACACTTCCGGAAATAATATTATCAAACTTGTTCTGCTTTAAAAAGTTGCCAAATGTGGAGAACGGTCTCGTCGTCAGATGAACTTCGTATACGTTGAACATGTAATGTGTGTAGGGGAAACATCAGTACGGTCAATCGAACGGGAGTCCGTATTGGTTACTGTAGCTTTGGTGTTATCTGAATTTCCCGCGTTAAAGTCTTGAGAAATATTTGAATTTTCCGTGTAAGATGTTGATGGTTGAGAGGATGTGTTATGTGAAGTGGTATTATTTTGCTAGTGTGGAGATGACGTGGATTAAGATATAGGTTTAGAAGTAACCTTTTTGATTAAAATTGACTCCTCTTCTACATTGCATAAGCTTTCGCACGTTTTATTTTTTACATTGATAGTAGCTGTATTTCTATGAAATTAAATACTATACGTATTTAGTCTTTTACTACTGATACTTAAAATGACTAGCATTGCATGGAAAACTAAAAAGTTATTTATTATAAAACAACTTTATTCGGAATAATCAAAATCAGAATCCAAAAAATCAATAAAACAAAGTTTAGGCTATTATACCTGTTAACTATTCGGAAAAAAAATTATAATATGAGTCCTTACATATGAAATTGGCGTATTTCGTACTGGCCACTTTAATCACGATGTTCTCCTCTTTGGTAAGGAATTCCAAATTCAAATTTGTACAGCTATTTACTCATGTATTTGTGCTTCGATGACCGTCATTCATTTGTTTTTTTCTTCTGTTTTTTCTGTTTGCGTCACTCATTTTACAAAATGGAAAACTTAAAGTATCGCATTATTTACGAGTACGAGTTCCGCCGTGGCACTAGTGCTGCGGAAACGACTCGAAGGGTGAATGATGTGTATGGTGGTCATGTTGCAAAAGAAAACACAGTTCGTTTTTGGTTCCAACGTTTTCGTTCTGGAAATTTCGACCTGCAGAACAAGCCCCGTGGACGGCCTGACACCCAAGTTGATAATGAAGTATTGAAGGCTATTGTGGAAGCGGATCCATCGCAAACCACGTCCGAGTTAGCTGCAGGCTGCGGTGTTAGTGATAAAACGGTTTTAATTCACTTGAAGCAAATTGGGAAGATTAAAAAGCTTGAAAGATGGGTACCTCATGAATTGACTGAAGCAAACCGGCAAACGCGCGTCGACTGCTGCGTTACATTACTGAACCGGCACAATAATGAAGGTATTTTAAACCGAATTTTTACCACACATACCACACATTACCTGTGATGAAAAATGGATTCTTTACGATAATCGCTCAGCGCAATGGTTAGATCCTGGCCAGCCAGCCAAATCCTGCCCCAAGCGAAAATTAACCCCAAAAAAGTTACTTGTAAGCGTTTGTTGGACTAGTGCCGGTATTGTTCATTGCAGTTTTCTCAAATCTGGCCAGACTATTACGGCTGATGTCTATTGTCAGCAATTGCAAACCATGATGGAAAAGCTAGCGGCTAAACAACCTAGGCTGGTCAATCGCTCCACGCCACTGCTACTTCACGACAACGCTAGACCACACACTGCACAACAGACGGCTACCAAATTAGAAGAGCTTCAATTGGAATGTCTAAGACATCCTCCGTACTCCCCGGACCTTGCTCCAACAGATTACAATTTTTTTCGAAATTTGGACAACTTCTTGCAAGGAAAAAAATTTAACTCTGATGGGGCAGTCCAAATCGCCTTCACAGATTTTATTGATTCCCGTCCGACTGGTTTTTTTAGTAAAGGGATCAATGAACTACCTATGAGATGGCAAAAGTGCCTAGAAAACAATGGTTCATACTTTGATTAATGAAATATATTATATTTAAAAATATTCGACTTTTTGTTCCTTCCATACAAAACGCCAATTTCATATGTAAGGACCTAATATAAATAAAAATGAGTAATTGCATGAAGTATCAAGACAATAAATCATACTAACCTAAGAAATTCAATGACATTCTGTGTTGCCATCCGAAAGTTTTCAAATAATTCAATTATGTTCTTTCATTAGCCAGACTCTACCAGTTTATCCTCTCCGTTTTAACTAATAAAATTTAATAAAAATTTCACCACCGTGAAAAATACGTCTACCATGAACGAAGTTTCCGGCGCTTTTTTCTCTATAATACTTGGTGGTGGTTGGTATAACGTCTTCTGAGTCATAGAGTAGTTATATATATTTTAAGCCTGTGCCCTGTGCTTTGGCGACTAACCTGGACTAACCTGTGCATAACGGATAACCCCAACTGTGTCAGAAATCAGAATCCTTTTATTAAATGTTTGCGTTAAACTTTTAGAAGCAAAACTTAACGCATTACTATATATGCTACTTATTTCCACAAAAACAGAGTAAATAGGTAGCTTTGTTTAAAATGTCTAATACTAGCAGTGGAAAGGGAACAAAATCCAAGTCCAATGAGGAGGTATTCGCAGGTTTTCAAACTCTTCGAAATGAACAAAGACAATTAGCAAATAAAATTTCAGAATTAGAAATGGATCTAAATGAGCACAAGTAAGTCTAAAACTATAAGGGAAAGTAGAAGTTTGTTTTTCTGTTACTAATATGTCATTACTATTTTAGGATTGTAATAGAAACTTTACAAGCAGTGGAGCCAAAACGCAAGTGTTTCCGTATGATCGGTGGAGTATTAGTTGAGCGCACAGTTGCCGAAATACTACCAGAGCTCGAGACTAACCTGGAAAGGTTACCGAGTGCAATTCAGGTAAAAATGTAGATATTGTCACCCATAACATTGATTTTTAAGTATTAAGTCCTAATAAATTATTTATTTTAGACACTTAATGAGCAACTGGCCCATAAAGGACAAGAGATCAATGATTATATAGAGAAACATGACATCCGAGTGCAGCGTGGGGCTCAGCAGCCAACAGAAGCACCCTCACAGGACTCTCCAAATGCTAAATCCAATGTTCTTGTTGCAAGTGGTTAAAATTATTCTAAATCCTTTATTATTTTTAAGCTTGTTTGTTATTAAAAATATTTCAATTGACTAAACATGTGATAAAAATTTATTATATGAAATGGACACTAAAACTAACTTCTATTACATTATGGTCATATAACTTAAATTACATAGTATCAAAATAAATCTTATATCTTTGCTTTACAATAAAAACATTATAAATTTATAATTTCCTTATAGATAAAAATAATTTTATTTAACTTTGTATTTACTAGTAATAAAGATCCTCGCTTATTTAAATGTTTTTAATTTTAGGTCAGTTATGATTATTTCTCAGTAAACAAGGGAGCTAAGTCAAAGTGAGCATATAAAGCAAAGTAACAATATTAAAATAAAAAAACTAAGTGGGTACTGATGTTCGCCCTCTTACCTAATCGCTGCCAGCTTATTATTTTCACATCCTACTAAATGTGAAAATCTTGAGCTGTATTTAACAAATTGTTGTTTTTTTATATAAAAATTTCACTTATTTTAAGCGCTATTCAACACATTCATAATATTAGTACTTCTCGGACGACGGCTTCGGCAGAGCGCCTCCCTCGGCGAGACACCAGTCGCCGCTCGCGCCGCCAAACTTGCTCACGACGCGAAGCTCACCGATGGTCATGTGCCGGTCGACCGACTTGCACATGTCGTAGAGCGCGAGCGCGGCCACGGCGCAGCCCGTCAGCGCCTCCATCTCTACGCCGGTGCGCGACGTCGCCCGCGTTTCGCACGCCAACTTCACGGACACGCGGCCGTCGCGCGGACTCGCCGTCGCGCTCGGGAGCTCCACCGTCACGCGCGCTAGCTCCAGCGGCAACGGATGGCACAACGGGACGAGGTCGGCCGTGCGCTTCGCGCCCAGCGCGCCCGCCACTTGCGCCACCGTCGTCGCGTCGCCCTTTGAGAGGCCGGCGCCGCGCAGCAGCCGCGCCAGCTTCTCGCTGACCAGCAGCACGCACTCGGCGCGCGCGCCCCGCCGTGTCACCGGCTTGGCGCCCACGTCGACCATGCGCGCGCGGCCCTCCGCGTCGAGGTGGGTGAGCGTGCAGTAGCCGCGCCGCCCCGTCGCCGCCGCCCGAGCCCGCCGCGCCGGCGATCCCGCTGTAACGTCCGCGTCAGCCGCCTATCAGTATCATCGGCCGGTTCTTCGCTCGCGCCAGCTCCCGCATTCCTACAACACAGGCGCCGGTTCGATCGAAGCGAGGCGACGTCGGAGTCGAAAGGGGCGGGCGGTACCTGCGTGCTGCGGCCTCTTGCGGCGGAGAGCGGCCCGCACGAGCGCGGACAGGTCGTCGTCGGCGACGCCGGCGCGCAGGGCGTCGCGCAGCGAGAGCTCGTCGGCGCCGAACAGGCACACCTTGAGGCCGCCGTCGGCCGTGAGGCGCAGGCGGTTGCAGGAGCCGCAGAACGGGCGCGTCATGGAGGATATGAAGCCGAGGCGGCCGACGTGGCCGGGAACGCGCCACAGCGACGCCGTGCCGCAGGAGGGCGCGGCCAGCGGCACCAGGTCGCCGTAGCGGTTTCGGAGCGCGGCGAGCGCCTCGTCGCCGGGCACGAGCCTCGCGTCGGCCCACGCGTTGCCCGAGAACGGCATGAACTCGATGAACCTGGGGAAGGCGAAGTTCTTTAACGATCGCAGTCTTCGGACCGGAACATCCAAACGGCGCGAGGACTGACCTGACTTCTATGTCCTTGTCTTTGGTGAATTCGGCGAAGTCGCAAATCTCGTCGTCGTTGAAACCTGCGAACGCGAAACCGATTAACGAGAGAGACGAGCGAAGCGAACGGAACGCGACGCCGCGGAATATTTTATTTTTCACCTTTCATGAGAACAGTGTTAATTTTGAGAGGGCGGTAGTCGAGCTGCAGAGCGAGATCGACGCAGGCCAGGACCTTTCGCAGACCCTGCAACGTTAGAAGAGGACTTTAGGAGTAAATTGCGGGGGAGAAGATCGGGCGAAAGCGACTATACCCACGGGGCGCCTCGCCATGCGCTCGTAGCGGTCCTCGCGCAGAGTGTCGAGCGAGAGGTTGAGCGCACCGAGGCCGGCGCGGCGCAGCGCCGGCAGTCGGCGCGCCAGGGCCACGCCGTTGCTGGTCATGGCCACGGTGGCGATGCCGTCGGTGGCGGCTACCTCGCGCACCACGTCGGCCAGATCCGGCCGCAACGTCGGCTCTCCGCCGGTCAGCCGCACCTTGCGCACGCCCAGCGACGCGAACAGCCGCACCAGCCGCGACAGCTCATCGCGCGACAACAGCTCGTTTCGCCCGCACAGCGGCACGCCCTCGGCCGGCATGCAGTATTGACCTGTCAAACGATTCATCGTCAGAGCTTTGTAATATTCTCTTTTGTATCTTTTACCGTGACTGAATGAAATATGATATCGCTTTGCAGTATTCCAAAACGACTAACAAAAAAAAACTAATATAAAATTTCAAAGCAAATTGAAATACATTAAATATAAAAGAGATTGTCAATTATAAAATGACTTCATTCAGTTATAAATTACAATCCCAAATTTCATCATCAAATGTATAGATAACATTAATGAAACTGAATGACCTCTATATGAGAGATACAAATAAATACACTTAATTCTTGTTTCTGCAATCTGTCTTCCAATAAAAGTGTGTTTAATATCTAATTATGACTTTGTTTCATACAAGACTAATGTGTCCATGTTACTTACACCGAAGGTTGCACCGCTCTGTAAGAGATATCCGCAGATAATCATGTTTCCGTCCAAGTAAGTCCATCAGGGGTAGATTATCTACTCCAGATTGATTCTTTGCATGGCCATTTACATTCTGGGGATAAAAATTACAATGTCAAGAATACTAGCTATACATAAATCCTAGTTTGGAAAATTTACTTATGCAGCTGTAGGTACTACTAAAACTTACATTGGTGTACCGTCTGCTGGTCTCACTATACCATAAATGGCTGTTTAATTGGGTATTGTTAATCACAACTGAGAATGGCGCTCGAGTCATAAATAAGTGTCTACATAAGATCATTTTGTTGTTTTTTTTGTCGCGAATATCAATAGGACCTAAACGATAAAAAAAGAACCTAGATCAATTTAGTATTAACGTAAAGCGTAACATTAAATTGTGAATAACACTATTAATAAGACACAAATTATACAACCGCACAAGACGCAGGTTCGTAAGTATGTATTTACAAACTACAATTAGATAGTATGCATCGTATACATAACCTATAAAAAGTAGGTTCGTAACAGCTGTGGGCTAGAAAAACTTAATAAAATTTTACAGTTCCTATTGTTACGCATTAAGCAATACACATTCACATGTATATTGTATAATGTATTCATTTTTCATTGTTAAAGAGTGAGGTGGACATTATAGTTGTTAAATATATATAATTGCTGTACAGACTAATTGCAAACATTTGCAATAATTTTTAAATGCATGTAAATGGTAAAAAACTTATGGTAAGTAAAAAAAGTTTAATAATTAGGTATTAAAAAATCTAAACCTTTAGGTTTAGGTTTATTAGTATATAATAAAATATAATAACATTAACACAACTAATAATAAATTTAAAATACAGCGAAACCTAAATGCAAATAAACGAAGGTATAGATAATTAATACATAATTTATGAACTTTCTATATCTGTGAACTGTAATCATAACTTCTAGAACTCCATCTACACATAGTATGTTTTTTTAAATTTATTATTTGTCAACGCTGCGCAATTAATTACCAATATATAAATATCTTGGAAACAGTTGAGTTTAAAATTTCATCATTACGGTTCAAGAGAGAAAAGATGTGTCTATTGGCCCGTACGTAAAAAAGTAAAAACATGCATACTGATGTATTAATAGTAATAATACATAGGTATACAATTATTATATTCTCTCCCTTCCATCTTCGAATTTGTGTCCAATTGTATTCGTTATGATTTATAAATCATTTATAATTACTTGGATTGAATACCTCAGCGTTAGACTGCAGTTATTCACTGGGCCGACACTGCTCTAGCTAGTAAGAAGTAACCACCAGCAACGTAAAGAAAATTACTAATGTTTTGTTGCCAGTACCCACTATCTTAAAGTATTTATCGTATTCAAGTCTAATTATCATAAGTACAACTTTGCAAAGAAAACCTAACTGATTCTAATGACATAGATACAAACAGAACGCAAGTCATTTTGTAATTGTTTTAGATGACGATGCTAGAATATGATGAATAAATTTCATGGGTTGTCCTATTAATATAAAGTAAATATCGTAATGCCCAGATCCATATAGATCCTCTCAGATGGCGAATGTTTTTTTTGGTGCATGCTTCAGTACGTTAGTCTACAAACTTCTCAGAAACTAAACATATTGAGACGATCAAGAGATTTATATGAATCAGATATATTATCCAACTTTGGGAACAGTCTAAGTTTCATTAAAATTGGTTTTATAGTTTTGAGTTATAGGTATCCACGGATTTTTTTCTTTTTAGTGGATAGATATTTAATGATGGGCAAATTTTTCTAAATTACTTTAATACATCCTTTTTATAATTATCTATAAATAAATATTAATGCATAGGCGGCCAATAGGGTAATAGTATGTAAGCTAAACCGTTGCCAACAATTCACAAACAAGACATATCCAATTGCTGACCCAACAACAATTGCCACTGATAAGTCATTATTTTGCCACTGGGCAGCTCATCACTGCGTCACGCGTGTGCGTGAGTCGTGAGTCGTGGGCCGTGACTGCGGGCTGCCAGACGACAGTCTTTATACGCGTACCTCTCGGAGAGGTCGCTTTGTGCGCGCGCTTTCATTTGTGTCATTTTCTTTGTTTGTTTCGATGTGGAATGATAAGAGCAGCTAGTGGTCAAGATATCGCTGAAATGTTGACGCGGACCGTGGGGATTGCGCTGCCAGGTACACTGCTCGGTATCGACGACGAATACAGCTGACGTAGATCGAGTGTCAAAAGACCCGAGCGAAGTTTAACTCGCGGGCAGTGAAATTTTAGCCGAATATGTCGTGTGAGAGGGGCAACGAGGTGCCTCCGCTCGAAGAAGAGCTGGAAAGCGCGGCGCAACTGCGCGAGCGCTGGCGGAGCGTCTACGTCATTTACTTTACCATGTTCCAGATGTCACTAGGCTTTAGCATCGTTCTCACTGGCGTCTGGCCCTACTTGGACAAGGTGACTGAGTACTCATACTCTGACGTAAATAATATTTTGTAAACAATTTGTTGTTCCCTCTAATTTGTTATTGTTGTTATTGTTCTTATTGGAGCCACCCAAAATGATTGAAAAGTGATTTATTTATTTAATAAAGGTTTACCAACGAACATTACAATAAAAGCTTAGATCTAGGAACCCTTAAAAAATAACAATAAAAACTTATTGTACACCCTTTAACAGGCAAACAAAGCACGATTTATAATTAATAACTATTTCTAACTAATATAATTGTTACAAAATATAAATGTGATCTAAAAAGGGAGAGATATAAATGATACGTTATTGCAAAATTTTGGAAAAGGTAGCTCTGCGAAACTGAGTAAGGGAAGGGATCAATTTCGGCGGAAAATTTATAAGCTTATTTATACATCCTAAGAACGGCGACGTTTGAACGTAGGATGGTTTTGTGGAAGAGTTTCATAGGAAATCGGGGCTTATTTTTGAGAGCAAAACGGGGCTATGGATGTGGCTTTTAATAATTTTAGTTATAACTGACATGTCCGCTAAATTGAACCTCTTGTCTATGGAATGTTTTTAGAAGTAGCGTTGTTATCTGTTTAAAAGGATTTAATTTTTTTATCACCACTTACTTAGAAACGGCAATAACTATAATATGTAGGTAAACCAAACCTTATTAGATAAAGACTGAACGAAAACGCATCTTATGCGTATCTACGTACTATCAAAATATTTGATTATTATTATACCTTATCGTTTGGCTCAATTACTACAAGGTGGTATCTTATCAAGTTAATCAGTCGTTACAGTCTTATCATCAATTAGATGTTCAACAAAAGGGTAAAGTTGTACTGATTAAGTTTTTAACAAAAATTCAAATAAGCAAGTAACAAAGAATTACCTAACCTGTACATAAAATATAATAATTACTGTAAAATCTAAGCACTATAATGAAAAAATAAAAAAGGCATTTGTGGGAACTTAGGACATAAGAATAAAAGCTTATGTAGTAAACCCTGCATAATATTACTTTAGATAATAAAAGTTGACGTAACATAATTCCGTGCAACAGCTGGAGGGTGGCAGCAGCAGCAAAGAGGCACTCGGGCTAGCTGTGGGCGCAAGTCCGCTGGGGCAGCTGATAGCATCGCCCTTATTGGGCTTATGGGCGAATCGCAGTGGAGGCGCGCGTGCGCCCATTCTCACGTCGCTTATCGTGTTTGTGCTGGCTTCGCTGCTTTACGCAAACCTACACATGGCACGCCCGCACGCTCACCGCGCAATGCTCGTCGCTCGCACACTCGTGGGAGTCAGCTCAGGTATGAGTCCTACGGAGGCGCCGCGCGCCGTCCGATGCAACTTTGGCTCAGTGTATTGTCTCTTTGGCAGCTAATGTGGCAGTGGCTCGGTCGTACTTATCGGCGGCGACGCGTGAGAGTGAGCGTACACGTGCGGTGGCCGGCCTATCGCTGGCGCAGGTGCTTGGCTTCGTGGTGGGGCCGGCGCTGCAGGCTGCCGCGGCGCCGCTCGGGCCCGGCGAGGCCTATGCCGAATCCGAACTTGCACCGCGCCTAGATATGTACACCGCGCCGGGTTGGATCAACGCTCTACTAGGGACGATCAATGTTGTTCTTTTCCTCCCCTTCTGCTTCAAAGAACGGAAAATCGCCGCCAGGGAAGCTATGATCGCCCAGGGCAAAGATACGGGTAAAAACTAGGCAAGGTAGTTTATAAATGATATGGGTTCGTTTGTCAAATCTAGTATTTTTTTATACGCGAGATGTGGATTGTTACAAAACGATGGTGTCATCGAAATATGATGGTTTTTAAATTCTACATCAAAATGGAGAACCAATACTCCAGTTTGACGAGATAAGGGAGGGAAGTTGAAAACTGATTAAATTTACAATATTCGGTTCGAATAACCACCATTGCGCTAAACATCTCTATGCCGGTTAAATAATGAAATGCCGCCTGATTGGCGTTCTCCTCGTTTACAAAGTTTTGAATAACCTCGTAGATATGAATGGTGGAGGACTTGCCAGGCTGATCCTTTTTGCGATAGTCTCCATGTCGTGTAACACGTTATCTCTGTGTATATCGTATACACTCATGATTGACGTACATGCATCTTGTGTTTTTTAATTCAATATTTTCTGTGTGTGTATGTATATTGTTAGTGTGCCTTAAACGTTAAATAAATAAATTTAGAGAAAGAAGCGCTGAAGGCTCTGAAGCCAGACCTGGTGAGCAGCTGGACGTTGGTAGCGGCGTTCTTCGTGCTGGTGTTCAACTTCGTGCTTTTGGAAACTTTGGCTACGTCGCTGACTATGGACCAGTTCGGATGGAGCAAACGGCAGGCGCTAGAGTACATGGGTGCTCTCATGAGTGCTGGTGCGTTACTGGCTTGCGTCGTGTTCGCGCTCATCACGCCACTCACAAGGTTCTTCGAGGAAAGGTGTGTCTTAAAATCATCATAAGTTTTCGTCGTTGTCACCCACTGTACTATACTTAGTACTATATTTTGAGTTGATCTAAATTAAAGATCAGACTATACGCACATACGATCACGAAGAATATTAATATCACTCGAGCTCTAGCTCGATAACATACAACACATACTTCTTTATATCAATATGGAGTGTTTAGCACAGGGATCGGGCTGGCTTAAAGAGACTTCTTAATCAGCCCTAACGGAGTTTCCACCATTATCGTCTTAAATTTCAACACTTTATACATTCGTCACACTTCAGTATGCAATTGAACAACCTTAATATGAGTTGAAGTTGAACTTGCAAAACTTCACACAAAAACAAGTTCTCATAACATTCACCCTTCGCCAATATTATATATCTACTAGATTTTTTTTTTATCTTGCTATACAAAGAGAATAACGAAGAACGCAAAATAATATAAACTTGGAAGATAATTTTTAGTCAAAAATTTTGTAATTTTGTTTTCAGAGCTCTGTTGCTCTGGGGCGGTTTCCTGCTGACGGGGCTAGCGTCGATGCTGTGCATTCCGTGGGGTCCCTCCGGGCCGCCGCTCGCTCCGCCCGAAGCCCGAGAGGCGGGCGGCGGTTGCCCGGCGCGGACGCAACCCTGGTGCGTCACGACGAGAGGCCTAACGCTTCCGCAGTTTTTCCTCGGCTATACCTGCGTCTCCATCGGTTACCCTCTGGGCGTCACCCTCATACAGACCATATTTTCGAAGGTATGCGGGATTCGTGAGCCCGTAAGGGAAAATGATGGTATCCACGGAGCGGTCGGTAAAATATAGTAACGGATCGCCTACAGGTTCTGGGTCCACGGCCGCAGGGCGTGTGGATGGGCGTGCTGACGGGCGCGGGTTGCGTAGCGCGCGCCCTAGGGCCCGTGTTCGTGGCGACAGTGTACGCGCGGCGAGGGCCCGACGCCACCTTCGGCGCCACGGCCGCCTTCACCTTCTGCGCGCTCATCGCGCTGCGCCTCGTGTACGCGCGCCTCTCGCCGCGCGGCGCCGCTGCGCCTCCCGTCGCCCTCGAGTTGCGGCCACTCAACTGCGACAAGGCAACCGCCCCGACCGCCAATGCAGAACATTGACTCACTGGAACTGCTTTTTGCCAAGTTCATGATTTAGACGTTCAATGTGTGTACGGTGATACAGCGGAAAAACAAATGAAGTAAAGAGTAATCACCATTTCGGAAAATGTTTGGCCGTTTTATGAATCGGTTGGTGAATGTAAAATCCGATATAAATTTGATGTAAATATTCGTCATGAAATTACATTTTATTACTATTTTATTTATTAACTGATTCAATTCCGTGACATTTATAAAAAAATAACCACGAGTGCTTAGTCTCTAGTAATACGTCTATTATTTATTGTTTTATTTCGTTTCTAGGATCAAGCCACGACCCATAGACTGAGTCGATTTGAGGGGATATCTATATTAACATTGTGATGTATAAATACTTTTTGTAAACATACAGGGAACATGGAATTGTGTTCTATATTTAGCTGTAAGATAAATTGTAAGACTGCTATGTTTTAATAATAATTGTCGAATTAAAGGTAATGTGGGTAATGCCGTTTTTGTTTTAATGGACACGTTCTTCGTTGACCCATCGCCTGTAGCCATGCTACAGGCTCCAGGCGATGCTACAAGCGATGGGTATGGTGTCTGATGAGTGATGGGATGTAGTCTACCATGAGTATTAATTAGTAATAACAATTATACAGTTGTGTCAAATACGAGATTGAGAAAACTTTTAAATTTGAAATTCTTTTGGGTCGACAGAGATGTGGAGCGGAGACGCTCACTCGTTTTATATTCTGTCAATCTCACGGTAGATCTACGGATGCCCGAAGTATAGTATAAGTAATTATTAAATAAACATTATTTATTTATTTAATATAAAGGTCTGGCAACGAATCTTAACTCAGATATTTAAATAGACTACACTATAATGAATGGATGCAAACCCGATTACACGCTGACACCGGACTCCGGCACCGATCTGATCGCTGCAGCCGAACCTTTATTAGTGTATTTCAATAATTAATGTGTTAATTTGTCTGTGTGACGTTGAAGTATGTGTTAATAGATACGAGCTGCGGCGAGCAGGTCCCATTAGGTGGATTTACACATCAAACACTCAGGGAGATTATCCTGGTAAGCGCAGGGCCGGGAGGTGCGTGGGGTGCGACGCTGCGCAGAGGGGGGCGCATCGGGATGGGCGGGGGAGGGTAGCGCCGCAGTTCCTCGGCGTCGCGAGCGCGCTGCGGCAGAGGAGTGCGTCGCGTCTCCGGCATCAGGGCCGCTGCTAGTGCTCCGACAGCCGCCGCCCCGCCGTATGCCGCGGCCTGAGCGTTCGCACTGAGCAGTGGTGTCTGCGGCGCTAGCACTGAGCCGATTCGACCCACGAGCGACGCGGCCGCCAAAGAAGACGAGCGAGCGTCCGTCGGGAATAGCTCCGCCGTGAACACGTAAAGCGAGTTGAACGCGAACGTGATCGCCAGCTTGCCCACGAAGTACATCACTCTTTGGGTCATCCCCGGACCTGGTGAACGAATGTTTAGGTATTGCGTTAAAAATTATCACAGATGTTCTTTAAATCTTTGCTTACAATCTGTATACATACCAACAAAGAACGGGATGACAGCGGCAAAGCCGCACAGCGAAAAAGCGACGGAAATCGTTATCTTTCGCCCGATGCGTTCCAGGGACATCATGATGAGTAGTGATGCGGCGATCTCCATGGCCATGTTCAGCGCAAAATTAGTGTATTTGTTTCCGGCGAGTGCGATAGAATTTATGGTGAGGCCGTAGTAGATGAAGGCGGCCATTAACCAGCAACTGCAACACGCCATGAGACGAAGGACCAACGCACGAGATCGCGCCACCTGTCCTATTGCGATCCACACGCTCGTCCGGCCCGTGATCCCCGACGACGTCAACGACTCGTTAATAAAACTTTCATCTATAACAACCTATGAAATATTATTGATTTATTTTTCTTAGCTATGAAAGTCATAGATGGCTCAATTAATAAGAGTCAGTTTGTCCGTGGAGTTTGTCCATTTTAAAAAGGGACACTAACGAAACACATACCGACATATTTTATAGAGAACACACGACATACAAAAAACACAATACATGCGTGTGCGTCAAGGAACGGACGAAACGAAGCTACTCTCCTTACTGTAAGTTATTAAAGTTAAAACTTCCTGCTCGCGTAGGATAAAGATAAGAAGTAGAAGGAAATTATTAGCAACCTTATTCCATCGAGCAGCTTTCCTGACGACGGCGGCCGCTTCATCAACACGACCGGCCGCATGCAGCCAGCGTACGCTTTCGTCCAATAAAAGCCAGTAGGCGGGCAGCACCAGTGCGGGAGAGTGCACGACGCGCAGCAGACTGCGCCATTGTGGGATGCGCCTTGCCGTCTCCGCGAAAAGAATACCACCTAGCCCGTATGCCACGCCTGTTGCGCAAGCGAACACAGCCCGAAGGGACGGTCTGGCGAGCTCCACCACTGCAACCGCCCTCGCGTTAATCTCTGTCCTCTATAGAGGCCGCCCTATAAGTAGTTACATACTTATTACGTACGCGGCGCTGTTGAACCCGTAGCCGAGTGCCGCCTCGAAGAACTCGAGCGCTATGTACGTATTGTAGTTCGGCGCCAGAGACTTCACGAGTCCGAGCACTCCTGCGAACGCCCCGAACACGCAGAACGCCGTGCGACGACCCCACCTATGAATTTTCACAGACAGTACCGATTGACACTGCCGACCGCCGAACAATGCGGCTGAAATACAAAATATTATTGTTCTTTTACCCGTCTGAGACGTAGCCCGTGAGCAGCAGCGCGAGCGGCAGCGCCGCGTTGCGCACTGTGCCTATCAAGGTTCGCCGCCACTCGCGGCACGCCAGGTCGAACTGTAAAATCACACCGACATCACTGCGAAGATCACCTTCTCGGCGAAAACGGTCTACGGGTTGTAAAGTTTTGAACCTCGGCGAATACTGTATCTGGATTTTGATAGAGGAACTGTTCACAAGGCAGGCTGTCGTCAGCATCGAAGTCGGTGGGGTCGCAGGTTTGGGCGCCGGGGCGGCGAGGTCCCGGGCGGCGGCAGGCGTCGGTCTGCACGAGCCGAGACGCGGTGGTGTTATCGAACTGCGCGCTGTGCGCCTCCTCGCATTCTGGCACCAGGCACCTTCAACGTTATACATACTGACCATACAGATAGGACATATTGTTAATATAAAACGGGTCCCAAAAGTTTCACTTCGCTCAGGATAATCAGCTCATGTATTAGATTATTCTTAAACTTATTTACTTCATACCAAGTTCAATCTCTAACCGATAAATATCAACCAATCCGGCTAAAATTATAGGATCTATTATCCAGTAAATAAGAAAATAAAATTAATTTCATTTCTTAAATTACAAATGTTATTTTGTATAATTCCATTAATCCAACGAGATCTTATCTGTCGTGATCAATTACAATAACGATGGCATTGCTTTGTTTATTTATAGATTCGAAAGAAACGCAGGTAACTTTTTAATCACAATTGAATTGTTAAGTGATTTCTTGCGTGACACAACTATAATTAGGTATTGTAATTATGTCGGATAATTCTTCGGCGAGTTCGAAAGGTTAATTGGCTTTGTTAACAAAATGAGATATATTTTTTTCACGAGGGATTTAAAAATAGGTCCATTATTAAACAACCTCAAACAAAACAACAAATTAAGGTTTTCATTTGGTATTTGATTGCAATATTAATTCACCGTTTCCTAAATAAAGAATCTAAAAATATTACAAAGAATCAATCAATCTGCATTGATGGTAGGAGTATCTACCAACAATATATGAAATGTTTAAGATACTCTACTTTAAAAATTAATGGGAACAAACAGTGCCCGAGAGTAACTCCGTTATCTTCTTGAATATTACAAAGAATAATTTCTACTTTTATATTTATTTGTTTCAAGTACTTTTATGTACCTAAATAAAAAAATTGGCCAAAGATTTGTTAATGTTTTAGATACTCATAAATGATCGGTCGTGAGACAGGCTGACCTGAAGGGCACGCGGTCAGCGACGAAGACGTAATTGAGGGAGTACATCGGCGCCAACAAGTTGGGCAGTAGCAGCATCAGCACAGCGCCGCGCTGCCACCAGCCGAAGGGGCCCAGCGCCGCCAGTAACGCTTCCACTCCGTCCGTGTCTTGCTCTCCCATCGCGCTTACTGCGCTGGCGCTTGCCGCTTATCGCCTGCCAACTGATAACACCTCCCATATCTGAGATACTTTGGACATGTATATCATATTTTATTATCGAGAAATTACCGAAAACGTCAACATCATATAACCTATTTATGAGATGAGATTTAAGAGGGAAAATAATTCAAAATTTCCATTTAAATAAAATTCATCTTTGTGTTAAGGTCGTTTTATTGTGCGGCGTGAAAATTCATTTATTATTACGAGTTATGTAATGCAACCCATATAATGTCTCGTTACATTGTATTATAGATAATGGGAATACCTGCATTAGTTATATGCCGGACACTCAAAATACAACAAGCAGGTACTTATAGAATTCGTAGTCAAGCGTAATTTATGTCGTTAAAACAGAAAACAACAATAAAACCTCACTCGGTTGTTTGAAAAAGTAACGAGTACTTCGTCTGCATTCTATTATAAATTTTAATTTATTAAAGTTAGATAGTCTATGCTGAATGAAATTGTTTCATTCGTACGCCCATTGCACATCACTTATTTAGATATTCATGATACAAATAAATATTCTCTCTCAAACTTTATCAAGATGGCTCTTGCAAAACATAATCTTTATCTTGGTTTTTGGCTTTGCGGCTAAAATGCTTCCGCGTTATCTGCTAATAGTGTTCCCGTGAATCATTTCGCAGTTGGAAGCGCGGTTCGGAGACGCCGGTTCGTTTACATTCCTATTTATACGTGACACACATACGGTCGCCGACACCACGATACCCGCACGTGATAACGTAGTGATTCAAGTGACGCGATAGCTAAATATTCATTTAGAATGGGCCACGAATTGAACGAGGAAGACTATTTTAATTAAGTCATAATATTTATTTCGTGAGCACGTGGCGACGCGTGGTGCGAGAGGGCGGAGGGGAGCGGGGACGAGCTTCCTTGCAGTCTGCGGGTGCGCTGGGGCGGGCGGCCGTGGTTCGCACTTCGCAGTTCGCACTTCGCACAGTTCGCTTAAAGTCGCCATGGAGCGAGAGCGTGTACCGTGGTATTGGCAGGCGCGCACCGCGGCGCTGCTCGCTTTGCCCGTTCTGCTCACGGGCATGTATGGAACCAACTATGTTTTCCTCGCCGCCCACACGCCACACAGGTATATATAATATATATATATATTATATTGTAACACGTCTACACGGTATTAGCTTTGTAAACAATAATTAATAATAAAAATAAAATACCTAAACTTATATTACTGGCAGATATCATTTATTTATAAATTTACAAAACTCGAATCGGTTCGACAGCTATCCGGCACAAAGAAAAATCTCAGTAGATTAGTATTAATAGATCAAGTGTGCGCTTAAGGTACCTTTTACCAAAGACAATTTAATTAAAGGAAATAAAGTCACGGATATCAGCTTCAAAATATATTTTCCATAGATAATATAATAAATTCGTGTTAATAACCCATATAGGAGTTTAAACATACTAGCTGTTAATGTTGCTAACTTAGTAGGTACGACTTGATTAGCGATTTATGCGATATTTTAATTAAATATTAGACAAAGCTATATTTGTATCAATACGAGGAAATAACATATTTGTTTGTACTATCAACAATGGCTATAACACAATAATAAAGTGTGAAACTTGAATTTTTAGGAGTTCGTTGCGCGCGCAGATAAAAAATATACTAAGGCGCGGCAGCTTGCTGCTAAGTTTATTAATTGCGCGTTAAAATATATTTTTTACGATATTATAGGCTTACGCGGTTTGAACAATTACAAGTTAAATGCGGACACCATCACTTCTACCAGTCTAGTCCAGTTAAAAAAATGTCTCAAATGAATGTTACTCGACCCCGGAGGTCTCTATAGATAAGGTGTGAACTGTGCATTTAATAATAACGGGGGCGCGATGTACCGGATCTTGCTGAGTACGACCGACTGGCCCATAGAGCAGTGGACAGGCCGGTGACCGACGACCGGTGACCCATGACACTGCATTTATCCGATGTCAGCCGTTATCCGACACGCGCGCCTCATTCACTCTTATCTGCTGCTCAGCAGTTTAACGCAGAAGCACGATAACCACAACAACAGAGGTCTGTCTGTAGAAAAGAGGAATATTTTTTTTAGATTATCTCTGAGCATTTCTTAAATTATGTCAAATATCTGGCCACTTTTACTATACGATTTCCTTCAGAATTGACAAGACAAAGAGCAAGAACAATCAAGGCCTTGCTTAACTTGGTCAACATAGTGTAATAATATTCTTAATAATATATATTTAATAATAATAATAAATAATATATAAAAGTTCAGCACGGATTAACTGTATGAAAATATTTCGTTATAAGTGGAAAAAGTTAGGATCATTTTGTATTTCAACTGTTTTTACCGATTAGCACTCGGTCAGCGATGATTTCGGTGTCCGTCCACAATATCAAATCTAAAAATATTCATATTTATATTTATTTCCAACACACAAATATACAGTATTTACAATATTCTTAACCTACATAGTAATAATAATACATTAATTTATCAATATGAAATACTTATAAAGATCTTTCTCACCGTCTTCCGTATATTACCGCCCACTCAGCACAATTTTTTTTAAAATTCTGTCTTTTTATTCCCAATTTAACTTATGTACTTCGCTGTTATTCGCCCTCTATGGAATCATTCAGTTCTGTTACGTGATTTGGCTCTTTTAGCGTTTCTCTCATCTGCTCACAAATGCAGCAGTCCGTTTTGCAAATGCGGGAAACCCACGCTTGAGTTTGTTTTCGTTTGAGTCAATTTTCAAAGTAGCTGGGATGATCCTCTTTATAACTCTGAATTCCAAAGCTTATTAGGTCACACTACTGCAATCATTTTTCGTAATAGCCTTTATCTTAGACACAATACATATTTAATAAAATTATATTTGAAATAATATAGTTAAGCACCTAATCAAAATGTTTTGTTGTAGAATAAAGCTGTTAGTTTTAGTAGAAATTCGGGATTTCTCTCAAAGAAAACCTAATCTGACGCTCTGCTATCTGTTCTGTTCACTTATTTTTAGTACTGTTTTTTGTTTTACCTCAATTAGAGAGAATGACTGAACATATAATTAAACAATACCTACCTAATTGTTTCCAATCGGCCACGGTATTAATGATGCTGTAAATCCATTTATAGAGTAATAATTGAGAATGGACCGGAGTTTATTTACTCATCTGTGCAAATCTGTACGTGCCAGAGCTTACTAATATTTTCCATAAAATACTAATATCATATTGTACCTACGACGGTTAAATCTGGACGTTAGCGGATCGGCGCCTTTCTAACTGTTTATACGAACTCTGTAAATCTCTCTCGTCTCATCTCTCGCGAAGGTCAGACATGAAATTACTCTGAAAAGAAGTCCCGGGAAGCGATTAATAATACACAAAATGTTAGCTATTTATTTTATTCCAGTGTCGTAGTACGTACTATGTGCCTCGATCGCGCACAATCTCCGTGCAGAGTGCAGACCTGGTTTTCATCTCGTAACATAGTATAAGATAGTATAAGTTATATATCAACCAATAAAGCTGACTTTTTTGCTTATTACATGTTATAAATAAAAAGCTGTGTGATTTCCGAAAGTAAAAAAATATTAAAAGTATGCTTCAGAAACGATACACTCAGGCCAACGTATTGAGGTCAGTTCTCTCCGCGAATTCTCCTTTATTAACCGACTCCAAAAAAACACTGTATTAGGAGGTTACCAATTCGACGTCTATTTTTTTTCTTCTACCGTATTAAAAGGGGGCCGACTGAGTACGTGAAAAGAAAGAAGCCTAGAGCCATATCTGGTGCATAAGGGAAAATTCTCTAAGATTTGTAGTGTTTATGGTAAGAAATCGTTCATAACGATGGACTACGAATCCAAGAATGTTCTTTCCACAAATCTGGATTTTTTCGTTGCTCTTAACGCTCAAATAATATTATTGACCATTTGACCTTCTGGCAAGAATTCAGACTGTACAGCACTGAGATACTTATAGAAAACTGATTTCGACTTTGATCAATTTAGGAAGGTGACTCCTAAGCTTTTCAACTAGTTTGCATGTCAAACCGGTACTTATACAACAATTCGTTTCATGTATGTTGGGTCGGAATTGACTCGTACGAGCATGTCTTCAGCGACTCTTATGCGATTGAACAATATAATATAAATATATTTGCAAATTCATACATAGAGTTGAAGCAATACGTCGAGAATTCTTGATTGTCCAATAACTAAATTCTGCTTGAAGATACCAACATATTTTTATCAGAATTTGGCAGTCTTAAATTAGATCACGTAAAAAAAAGTTAAACGATTCAAATGTGCATAAATTGTAAATTCGTATTTTTATATTTATGTACTAGATTTTAAGATTTAGAATAAACATACTGCAATGTTCTGTTAAAATACTAATGGCCAATATGCAGCAATGTCGGGGTGATAATCAGTGCCCCGCATTATTTTGTTTGTTGACATGTTCAAAGGAGTGAGTCAGGTTATTGCTTTGAAATTGACATAACAAATTCAACTAAATAAATTAACAAGAGCCGTCATAAACATATTATTATGTTGAAAAATAGTGAGAGAAAGTATAATTTTAAAACAGTTAAATATTATTATATTTAATTGGCTTTTGGATTTATTAACCAAAGATATTTTATACGTTTTATTTATCTAAAATTAATAATATTACTCATGGAGAACACCTACACTAAAAATAATTATTGTAAGTGATCGTAAATTCATGCTGTGGTCCTTCCTTGGGAATATTCCGCGAGCGCGGAGAGCGGGCGTCCTTGAACTGGGCGCGGCGCGTTAGGACTGAGGTCGCACGTGGCCCCGATCAGTCACGTGACCACGATGCGAATCCCAAATCGTGAAGCAGTTTGATGTACGGTACGGGTACCCATCACATTATTTTTTACTTACTAACGAACTAAGTTTAACTGCCATCTCGACGAAAGGTTCGGTTTAATCTTTCGGTGAGTCATCGCGTGTAACCAGATCTGTTCGCTGTGTGTGTACCCGCACACGTATACTCTTTACAACTTAACACGCAACTTGGGTGAGTGGAATTACTGCTTTTAAAATAGAACCGGTCGGCGACACATTCATGCCCTTATGCGACCAATCGGCCTTCGGTGAGAGCTTAGCGCCGCTATGTTCCTACACGCGCATAAATATTATGTATTTACTTATAAATCGTAATAAATTCAGTCACCTCGCACCCATGGGTCCCTACAGTATTTATAACGACTTATATCAAAGTATAATTGCATGAAAATAGTGCGTAATTAAATTAATATATTTCGTAAGAAAAATCCTAAAGCCTGCAAATCTTTCTCGGCCGCACGCCACTTGTACACAGAATTATTGTTATTGCGAACGCTAGATGTGTACAGCTACAAGTGAAAGCGAGTCACGCGCTGTTCTCATCCCTTCCGACCCCTGGCCCCTGGGCTCCCAACTCGTTGCCGCTTAGTATTAGCCACAGGCTCAAGGGTCACTGACCTTTCCCACGCTTCTCATTCACCGCACCTACTTTGATATGGTCACGCGCCTAGAAGAAGTTTTCACTGATGGCTTAAAGAAGTGAAAGATATTAAAAAGGAGCGCCGTTGATATCGTACAAGCGTGACTGTAAAAACAGCTCCAACATGTTTGACCGGTCACGGAATATAGAGCAGTTGTCGGTTCATGTCGAACCGGACGATAAGCGAATTAATTCGTTTAAAAAATATCCAACCGACTCCCAAATGCACTAAGAAGAATTAAATTGAATCAAGATTATTTGTAGACAACCAATGTGTGAAGTGTTTACTAACTTGTTTACATACAGGCGTATGAAGACTCTTATCCTCTGTGCTTTAAGTCCCTCTGTTTTCTCTTTACGAAAACTCTCTGTATGGGGCCCGTCAGAAGATCAGTCCACAGGCGGAACATATCAGTATAAATAAATAAAATACATTGAAGGTGAACATATGGACGATACATTTGAATTAACGATTAAAAACACATTCTAATAATCGTCAAAAATAAATGGTCTACCTCATCAATGCATTAATTAGCAAATGGCCGATCAATTTTAGCGTAAGGTAAACAAGAGCGGTGCCATTTACCTGTAACGAGAAAATAAAGGATTGACTTACCGAGCTACCTTCACACCAATCATTGACCCATATTTTAGTCAACTACAACTATACAATTATGGTTTTACTTTCGTTACCTATTTTAATGTTAACATTAGCAGAATATTTATGTTCTTATGTATAGTAGTTTCCCGCGGATTCACCCACGTCAACATACTCCCCAAACACAAACAAACTCTTCAGCTTTATAATATTCGTAATGAAATTATTTTGTTGCATGATGCATTTATTCACACAAAAATTTAAGAACCGTCAAATGTCTTTGGCGTTGACTGATTGTAACTGATAAACCCAAAAATAACGAACGATTTTTTCTGTTTACTTTTTACTTTGGAAGATGCGTAATAAGTCAGTTTTGTAGGATAAGTTTTATATTGAATATTGTCGAAGTGACAAAAGTATTGCTAGTCAGTAGTCACGCTTCTCGGAAAATATTCTCTACAAAGGTCCGGCACTGACGAAAGAAGATAGGCAATTTAACTTAAAAAATTCCAGATGTCTTTGAAAGCTGAAAAAAATTGCAATCTAGTAGAGTAATTTTGTTTCAACCAGTTTATTTGGTAAGGAAAGAGATTTCGAGGCGAATAGTCGGAACACAAATCGCAGCTCCGAAATGGGTACTTATGTCTACTGTATTGTATTATTTGGGTCAGGTAGTAACGTGTAAATCCTTATTTAAATTTTGAATTAGTCCCATTTTGAAATTATTTCTTAAGATGTCAATAAACGACTATACTACTTACAGGTGTCTAGTCCCCGAGTGCGAGGGTGGGGATGGGGTTGACGGGGGAACGGAGAGCCCCGTTTGGGCGCACGCGACGAAAGTGTGGGGCGAGTGGGCGCTGTTGCCCGACGAGCCCTGCCACCGGCCGAGGCCTGTCGCCGCTCATTGCCGAAACGCCACTGCCTTCGACAACACCACGCTGTTGCCTTGCGACCGTCACCTGTATAACCATAGCGCCACTATAGTCTCAGAGGTCTGTTCCAATCGTAAATTTTAATCATAAGCATTAACTTTTTATTATCGTTTAGTAAATATTTATAACAACTGATTTATTTCAGTTCGATTTGGGCTGCCAAGAGTGGAAGCGCACGTTGGTGGGAACGATACACAACGTGGGCATGCTGGTCTCGCTGCCAATCATGGGATACGTCTCGGACAGGTACTTCAACATCATATTGAACTTTTATGGCTGCAACTTTTGTGGCGATCGATTGAGACAAGGTGTGTGGCAGGTGGGGCCGACGGGCGGCGTTGGTGGGGAGCGGCGTGGGCGCGGGGCTATTTGGCCTGGCCAAGTCCTTCGTCACCACCTACCCGACCTATCTCGTTATGGAATTTTCCGAAACTGTCTTCGGAGCCAGCGTCTATCCAGCTGCGTTTGTACTCAGTAAGTGTAGTCGAGTATGGTCGGGGTACCACTTTAAATATTTTTTTTTTAATTTCATAAATAGATTCTTGCGTCCCAATATTAATTGAAAGTCAAGAGATAGAAGTGACATAATCGAATCGAGCGACATAAGGCAGCTTAACATATTCACAATAATAATAATAATCGTTTATTTGCAAAGAAAGTGGTAGGTTCAGATTGATTCATTATAAAAATAGGCATGATAATGGCTTATGAATTTTCGAAATTCATATGTCATATAATATAATAAGAACATTAACATATTTGTAATTGTTGTCAAACTTATGGTCTAAATACTCTCCCAAGCTATAAAGGCACCTTCCCCTTAAAAGCATTACACGGCAGTGATCTAGGAAGGTGTTTAAATAGTTTGATAGCCTTATGAGGTTAAAATTTTTGAATATATCATGGTGCAACATGCAGGCACCCACAGCGGTGTTTTGAATAATTTTGGATGCTTTTTTTACAGTCATAACTGCTTCTTGGATATAAACTTGGTACTGTCAAAATACCGAGTTCGTAAAAAAGTGGTCTACAGTTTACAAGACGTCCACACAAAAATAAGTTGTAGCTAAAATTTAGCTTTTCTAATTTAAAAAATATTCATGTCACTTGGAGATGAAAACTTTTTTCTTATGAGGCACAAAAAGAAACTGCGTTAATAATGATTTTACACATAGTTTATTAAACGACTGGTAATGTGATGATAATTTAAAAATTGCAGTGATCGAGTGCCTCGGAGTAGAGCAAAGGATTTTAGCGAGCTTGCTGCTGGGCGTGCCTCTAGCCGAGGGCGCGGCCTCGTTGGCGTTACTCGACTACGTCACAGGCTATTGGCGTACCTGGGCACGCTTAGCCTACCCTCCCTCTTTTCTGCTACTACTTTACCCTTGGCTGCTGCCTGAGAGCGTGCGCTGGCTCGTCGCCAAGGGAAGGATCAGCGAAGCGATCAAAACTATCAAGAGAGCCACCCGAGGGAGTAAAGCCACCTTTTCCGAGGAGACGATACATAGAATGCTAGCGACGGATCAAGTCACCGAGAAGGTCGAGGTCGTCGTTGAAGAAGAGAGCTTGTTCAGAGCGTTCATAAAGTGAGTCGCCCTTATTTATTTCTTATTCGCAGCCTGACCAAAGACAAGGCGTGAATGCGGCTCTCATTGTCGTTCGATCTGTTTTTCTCAGTCTACATGGATGGACCGCCGCAGTGTGTATTGACCAATGTAATGGTGGTTGCAGATACGGCGCGTTACGGCGTCGCTTAGGCGTGTGCTTCGCGTGGTGGGCGTCCGGCGTGTTCGTGTTCTACGGGCTGGCCGTGCGCGCGCATGCGCTCAGCGGCTCGCCCCACGGAAATTACGCGCTTCTGGCGGCAGCCGAGTTACCTGCGCTGCTGCTCAATACGCTGTTGCTGGATCGCGTGGGGCGGCGCCCGCTTCTCACCGCCGCTTTCTTGCTCACGGCGCTGGCGTTGACCGTTATCCCGTTGTTGCCTGAGGGTAGCGTGGCGGGAACGGCGTTGTTCCTGGCCGGCAAGATGGGCGCGACCATGGCGCTCAATGCACTCTACGTGTATACGGCGGAGCTGTTTCCGACACGCGCCCGCCAGCGCCTGTTAGCTGCGTGTTCGACCTGCGGCCGTCTCGGCGCCATTCTAGCGCCTCAGACGCCATTGCTTGTGAGTACTTAAAGCGCGTTTAATTTGGCAATTTCTAACAACATACGAGTCTTCATACGGCACTCTTTGCTTTTAGTCAGTAACTCATATTTATTAAAATTATATTTGCAGTTCGGAAGATATGCGTGTACATACATATACCCGCTTCGCCATATCACAATTACGCGCGTATCATAGAAGAGTGGTATCTCCTAAAACGTTCTTTCAAAGTCAAAAGTTAAAAATATTTAAAAAAAAAAGTCTCTAGTTGCCCCTTGTCTCTAGTTAAATAATAGGCAAGAAACTCCATACTTTGTAAACTCAAGGAGCTGACGTTTTGTATATTTATATTATCACTAGCTGATCCGGCAAACGTCGTTTTGCCATGTATTATTTATAATAAAAAATAGGGGTTGATCGTAGAAGGGTGAAAATTAGGGATTGTATGTATTTTTTAATGCTGTATCATAAAATAATAAAATATTTTTTTTTATTTAAAAATTAAAAAAGAAATAATGGATGGATAAAGTAGGGATGGACTACCCTTAACATTTAGGGGATGAGAAATAGATGTTGTCCAATTCTCAGACATACCCAATATGCACACAAAATTTCATGAGAATCGGTCGAGCCGTTTCGGAGGAGTTTAACTACAAACACCGCGACACGAGAATTTTATATATTAGATTATACGCTTAATCAATGCATACTCAATGATAGTGTCTGTTTACCTTTAACGAAACTGGGTGGTGCTCCACAGGCGGCGTACGGCGCGTGGGTGCCGACATCGGTGCTGGGCGCGTTGCCGTTGCTGAGTGCGGCGCTGACGCGGCTGGTGCCCGACACTCTGGGTCGGAGGCTTCCCGACAGTTTCGCCGACCTCGGCTCCAGCGCCACCGACCTCTCCGAGCTGCCGTGACGGCCCATTCCTTAGGAACGTCTGCCGTCGAGTCTCATGGTACGGGCGGCGTCAGGTCACGCTCACCCATAAACACAGGGTTTTTATTTAAAATTAGATATAAGAGCCGCGGTACCTTCTGCGAGACTTCTCATTCCTTCTAAGAAGATCTGATGCTTTCTTGAAAGGACGGTGTCAGATATGAATTCGGTAATGTGATTACGAATTTGTAAAAATTGTGCACCTAGGCTTAATCAGTGATAGCTTTCTACGAAGTAGGAAGTCTGTAGGTTTTACTTATATTGTAAGTTGTTAGTTTTATTTGCACTTTGTTTTTTGAATGTACCGGCTAATACGGCCGAAAGAGCCCAGTGTACAACTTGTGGAACAAAATTAAAAAATTGTAGTACATTGAAATAAAGCAAATAGTCGTAGCAGTATGTCTATGTAGAATTGTAGTAGCTTGTAAGAGGATTAAATACAAAATGAATATCGACAACGACGACATTTATTTAATCTTTCCCAGAATTATTTTGATGGCTTCCGTTTCAGAGGTGCTCAATAATACAATTCACACAGTATTCAATATCAATATTCTTTATTTGTATTGATTATGTACCACCAGGGGAATGCCACATCATAGGTTATTTCGTTTCCTTGATATCAAGGCTATTGGGCACAATATGTAAAATAAAAATGTACACAATGAGTAATCTGTATAAAATATGGCGTTAAAAGGCGTTCATTTAACAAGAGATCCGTAATTACCATAACACCATGGCAGGACTTGTAAATTATGTTTTCCTCTGTCCGATCCTAACACTGTATCGCTGTTTAATTTAGTCGAAGACTATTTTTCTATAGGAATCGAATATATGAGTATTTATATAAGTAACAAACATCGCAGAATGATAAGAAACATATAAAAAACTTGACGTTTGTTGCCGAGCTTGGACTAAGGACCGGTGCGACGCCGTCTTGCATAGAGATGGAAGGTTGAAATTATGAATTTTATGGACTTAACAAGATACAAAAAAACATTTATTTAGTTGTTAATAAATAATCTAAAATGTTTTTAAACGTTTGTCAAATAATTGTAAATCTTAAACGATTTGCATAGTGTGCTTTTGTTCGTTTTTACCTCAAAAATCAATTGTGCAGTCTGGTAAAATTACAAAAGATAGTTCCCGTTGACAAGGAGCACTCGTTACATGTACATTAAACGCTTCGAACTTCAAGAAGCTTTGTCAGAAGTATGTTAATATAAAGCAATAAATCTACTTATGTTTTAATGGACCATTTCGGTCGAGAGAGAAAGACAGGTATTTTAACGTTTTGAAAGAAAATTCATCACTTGAACTATAAACAAGATTCGTATGTAGTGTACGCCACTATACGCCATCATGCAAAATTTTTTCATTCATAATTATCCTATAAGATTTTTCATGAAACATATCAACCCCAACTATAGGTCCTTACATATAAAATTGGCGTATTTCGTACTGGCCACTTTAATCACGATGTTCTCCTCTTTGGTAAGGAATTCCAAATTCAAATTTGTACAGCTATTTACTCATGTATTTGTGCTTCGATGACCGTCATTCATTTGTTTTTTCTTCTGTTTTTTTCTGTTTGCGTCACTCATTTTACAAAATGGAAAACTTAAAGTATCGCATTATTTACGAGTACGAGTTCCGCCGTGGCACTAGTGCTGCGGAAACGACTCGAAGGGTGAATGATGTGTATGGCGGTCATGTTGCAAAAGAAAACACAGTTCGTTTTTGGTTCCAACGTTTTCGTTCTGGAAATTTCGACCTGCAGAACAAGCCCCGTGGACGGCCTGAGACCCAAGTTGATAATGAAGTTTGAAGGCTATTGTGGAAGCGGATCCATCGCAAACCACGTCCGAGTTAGCTGCAGGCTGCGGTGTTAGTGATAAAACTGTTTTAATTCACTTGAAGCAAATTGGGAAGATTAAAAAGCTTGAAAGATGGGTACCTCACGAATTGACTGAAGCAAACCGGCAAACCCGCGTCGACTGCTGAGTTACATTACTGAACCGGCACAATAATGAAAGTATTTTAAACCGAATCATTACCTGTGACGAAAAATGGATTCTTTACGATAATCGGAAGCGCTCAGCGCAATGGTTGGATGCTGGCCAGCCAGCCAAATCCTGCCCCAAGCGAAAATTAACCCCAAAAAAGTTACTTGTAAGCGTTTGGTGGACTAGTGCCGGTATTGTTCATTGCAGTTTTCTCAAATCTGGCCAGACTATTACGGCTGATGTCTATTGTCAGCAATTGCAAACCATGATGGAAAAGCTAGCGGCTAAACAAACTAGGCTGGTCAATCGCTCCACGCCACTGCTACTTCACGACAACGCTAGACCACACACTGCACAACAGACGGCTACCAAATTAGAAGAGCTTCAATTGGAATGTCTAAGACATCCTCCGTACTCCCCGGACCTTGCTCCAACAGATTACCATTTTTTTTCGAAATTTGGACAACTTCTTGCAAGGGAAAAAATTTAACTCTGATGGGGCAGTCCAAATCGCCTTCACAGATTTTATTGATTCCCGTCCGACTGGTTTTATTAGTAAAGGGATCAATGGGATCAACTACCTATGAGATGGCAAAAGTGCATAGAAAATAATGGTTCATACTTTGATTAATTAAAATATAATATTATATTTAAAAATATTCGACTTTTTGTTTCTCCCATACAAAACGCCAATTTCATATGTAAGTACCTAATATTATATTGCGTTATATCACAAAGAAGCTGGGTAAACGGCGTTTGAACGATGTCTTTTTGCTTTACTTCTCCATGTAGATGTTATAGGCAGGTGTTGAAACCGCGATAGCTAGATAACTCTTTTACGGTGGTGATTGATTTTCACTAAACACCAACAATAATTAATTAATAAACTTCAATAAAATTTAGTTTAAGTAGAGATGGCTTGATAGATCGTCGTTACAACACATAGTGATTTCGTGATATAAATAGTCCTATAAAGATTAGTTAATGCCCGGTACAGTCGGAGATTTAATTTGATTTACAGAGATCCTTTCTCTTTTAACGTATTATCACGGTCTATCAGTTTTGTAAAGGCAAATCTTTAACTCTTTCATAACTATATCAACATGCACTGTAAAAACTATCGTCAAAGATAAGTTGGAAAGCCAGTTAAGGAAGACTGAACGAATGATAAATTTGAGATAAACACTTTTGGCCTTTACCGAGCTCAGCCAAAGTTGGCCTGATGCCGCGATAGTTGCACTTTATTTGTAGGCGCACCTTTTTTGGCCTTTAATATTACCATTGATAAGTATTTCTATGGTCTTCGATAGAACAACGTTTTGCTCGTTGGGGTTAATTTACTGAAAACTTTCAACCAGATTACAACACCCTCTCTAAGGGACATTGGGCTCCTCGACCATCCAGTCTCCGGACGGAGGGCCGATGCTCGAAATTACACAAAAAAGCTGACCGAACGTGAAATTGACACTGGTGGTTGGCGCCTCTGGTGGTTACGCGATGAACTAAATTCGTAATGTTGCTGTTTACGCTTGTGTAACACGCGTTCATAAGCAAGGCGTTGTGCCTGCCGTCTATTTATAAACAGTGTTCAGAAACTGACAGAAAGAGGAAAAATGTTTACAACATTCTGAAAACTTTGCAGGGTAATTTAAAAACCTTCATTGGGGGATCCGCAAACAAAACCAAATTGTATCATTCTTTATGTTTTTTATATTTAAATTAAAAAAAAAGCATTTATATTGTAATAAATCAGGCTATAATAATCGAATGGCGCTTCTTGGACCATATTTATTTTAAAATACAAGTAGGCGATCAGCCTCATGTGTCTAACACATGTCGTATATTTTTTTAGACAAGACATGGCGGCTTCATCACGATGTTTGCCTTCACCGTAGGAGCAAGTGTTAATAGTGCATATAGAAAGAGAAATCCATTGGTGCACAGCCGTGATTCGAACGCACGACATCAGGACTTAGAGTCACGCGCTTAATCCACTCGGCAACGACATTTCTCCAAAAACAAATATATAAATGCAAGTGAAAAGAAATATAGCTCTCACTACATCATTACACACGTTTGTTATGTAATTCGGTTCAAACCAATAAATTAATATTATTATTACCTATCAATGACTCTCTTACACATTTTATATTTGGAAGATGAAATATATTTAGAACGGGGAGGAGGTCGAGGGAAATCAAGAACGTGCGTCATTTCGCTCGTAAATTCTCCAGTTTGACTACGAATCTAAACTGGTCCGCTCTTTGCAGCCGTTTCGATATAACTAGTGATTTCTTATTAGTTTGCGTTATTAGAGATTTTAATGTTAGTACAATTGTGAATAGTGTTGTTTGTGAGGTTTAGTTTGCACGATGTCACGGCGGTCTGCCTACGGCGCCCGCCTCGACTACTCTCCGCCGCCCCCGACCAACTGCGCTAAGGTCCAAATTTCTTAATATTTCGCTACGAATGAATGATGTTGCTGAATTGGCTTCCATCCGTTCACGCCCATTTCGGCACTCGTCACCGTCGTTATAAAAGAATCCGGATAAACACCCGTTGTGATGTTACTCCGCTGCTACCACCACACTCGGCCATGAGTTTGGTCCAACAATTTAAAAAAATACTTTTTATACATAATACGAAGTTGTTTTTTCTTTACATCTGTTTTCTAATGCGCTCACATTTACCTGTAGTCAGAGTTCTACTCATACTAAATCGGATACTAAAACGAAATGTATTAAATTTTGTGCAAAAAATGCAAGGGTTATGGATACTAGACCAATTATAAATGACGAGGAATTGAAACTGGATGATACAACTGTATTTCTTGGAATCACCATGGATTCAAAACTTGAGTGGTCCCCTCATATTAACGGATTGGCCAAGATACTCAGTTCTACAGCTTACGCGGTTAAATAGTTTCGCTCACTAACTGATGTCGATACAGCTAGACTTGTTTATTTTAGTTACTTTCACAGTTTAATGTCTTATTATTATGGGGTCACGCTGCGGATGTCGAAACTATTTTCATCCTGCACAAGAGGGCTATTCGTGCAATCTATAATTTAAAATGTAGGGAATCTCTGAGAGATAAATTCAAGGAAATTAATACATCTTTCCTAGAAAATTTTATGTTTTTCGCAAAAATTGTGATAAGTTTACCAGAATAGTACAAACGCAGGCTGCAATTTCCCCGTACTAGACTATCTGAAGTTAGTAGTTATTTTTTGGAAAAAGGGATACTTTTCTTTTATGAAATCCCAGAGGCTCTTTTATCTCTGCCTTTTAAGAAATTTAAGAAATGTATTAAAGAAAAGCTGTGTAAAACGGCTTACTATAAAGTAATCGATTATCTAGTTGATAAAAGGGCCTGCGACTAGTGCTAGACAGGCTACTTCTAATTAATTTGCGATATTTGTTTTTAAATTAGTGTTGTTTGCCATAGTCATTTTGTATGATGATTTGATATTTTAAAAGAGTACCGAGAGAGACATATGGGTCAACTTACAAATAAATATTATTCAAATAATAAAGAAACTTTCAATATGTGAAGTCAGGCCCAATTTCACACATTTTTTGGACAACATTGACATAGGTTTTAACTTAAGCGATGACGTCATTATTCACGGCGATTTCAATTCAATTCAAGCGGTAAGCGGTAGAGTTACTTCGAAGTGTACTATAATGCGCGGTGGTGAAAGTGTCGAATGGGGTAACAGCAGAGGAATCCGTTCGGGACAAATGGACCAGTTCAATATATAATGGTTGTTATACAGTTCCTGTATTACTCATGGCGGCTATGCTCAGTAGTATTCTCACACTTCGTGATGATCAGTCTCGTTGTCGCCTACTGCATCCTTGGCGCCGTCACCTTTGAACGTCTGGAGTCGCAGCACGAAAGAGAGGTGAGTTTATTGCGACAAGTTTCTGATGTACTTACCCTTTAAACTCCAAACGTATACTCATGGCTCATTGAGCTCTTTTAGGTCAAGAAGAACATATCGCAGATCCGCGCCAATACGACGTACAGCATCTGGCAGATGACGAACCGCGTCTCCTACCTCAGTCAGTCGAACTGGACTTCAGACGTTTTAGACATGCTCAAGGTGCGTTATCTTGTTCGTCCGAAGCGCTTAGGGAGATGTCGAGGTGCTAATGTCCCACTGTGCTGAATAGGAGTTCGAGAACGCAATTCTATTGGAAATGAAGGTGCGTGGATGGGACGGCAGCGAAAGTCCCGACCGGCTGCAGTGGACCTTCACCGGCGCTCTCTTCTACTCTATCGTCGTCATCACCACTATCGGTGAGTCTACAGTCTTAATTGTTACTGTATTGAATAGTAGTATAGGAAAAAAATATAATAAAAACAAAACCGTTTAATTCTATTTTACAAATGTAATATCAAGTTCATTGTTAAAGAATATTTCAACCAAAAAAGTTTCTTTAGCTCTTAAGCAACGGCTGTTAGGGTTTTATTGGATGCTTAAAGTTAGTCTTTCGCCTAATAATTATAAATTAGACAAAGAAGTGTGTTCGAAGTCTGCCCCAATAATCTCTAATTTCTAATCTCTAAGATCTCTTCAAAGGCAATTAGGTGACACGACATGATTGAATATTGAACCCCTCATGTACGGCGTGCATCCAAATCAAATAAAACTATAATCATCATGACAAATTATTAAATGTTAGCTGCTATTTTATATTTAATTTATGTTATTATAAAATATACTATTAAAATCATCGTTTATCACAGAAATTACAACGCTCCCTTTTAAACATATATGAAACTATTTACCAAAGCTCCCTCGTGGGCCAATTTGTCCGGTGGGGCCCCCCGGTCCGACTAGAACTTGCCTTCCTGGCCCCACCCTGCCCGTAGGCCCACCGGGCCCTACTAGGATACCAGGCCTGCTTGCACCGTACCCTTGGTTAAACCCAGCTGGGCCAATTATTCCAGTCGGCCCACTGGGTCCGACCAGCACACCCTGTCTCCTCGATCCAAAGATTCCCGTAGGGCCACCGGGTCCTACAAGGATACCAGGCCTGCTTGCACCATACCCTTGGTTAAACCTAGCCGGGCCAATTATTCCAGTCGGCCCTCCGGGCCCTACTAAAACGCCTTGTCCTCTCGGACCGACCATACCCGTTGGACCACCTGGCCCTACTAGAACGGGCCTGCTGAATCCGGAGTCAAAAATTCCTCCTGGCGAGAAAAAGCCTCGCTGCGCCGATGCACTCTCCCCAGAATCGGTATTAATGTTGTCGAAAGGTCCAACAGCGCCGGTGGAGCCTTCCGCACCTACTGCGAGGGGGCGATCTGAGAATGTTTATTATTACTATTAATTTACATAGTATATTATATCTATGTCAGAGCTAAGGTATGTAACAGAAACATAGGTGCTTGTAATTGAGAGAAGAACAGATAATACCTGCACGGTTTGAGTCCTGGGTGGCGGGCAAAGAACAGCACAGGTAATCGTGACTGCTGCAGCCTTTCTGAAAAAAGATTTAGGCTCTGTTATCTTCCTCATTTATATGTGTCAGTAAGACTAAGCGGTGCTAATGCTCACACGAGATCCCGTTACACACTGAAGGTTTCGAACAGGCGTTCTTTCACAGCGACAGTACTGTAAGTCGTCAAGCGTACCCTGCCTCTCCGCCGCCGCTGCCCTGAAACATCAACATACAGTGGCTTATTATAAGTATCTTGAAAAAAGAATGGGATCTGGTCTTCTAGTGGTGAGCACTGACCTGTCGGCTACGAGCGCACGGTCGGCGAAAGGCCGCTTGTAGAAGCCGGCCATTTCATCACTGCAAATACACAAGGATTGAAGCATTAACTATAAACTTATAGAGGTTTAAGATTTTTAATGAGTTTTATGATACGGTTTTAATTCAAAACGTTATATCTAGTCGAAAGTCGCATAACATTAGTATGATAAAATAACAATTAAATTTTATTACAAAACGTACTACCTGTGACAAACACAGGCCAGCGCCAGCGGAGGGAAGACTAAATAAAGACCCAAAGTAGTAGGCCAAATTTAACAAATAATTAGACTAAATTCAGATTAGCCTTCGTAAGATATTATATCAAATGGAGTGGCAACTTTATATGAAAAAGCCAGTCAATTATAAAAATGTTCGGTCATCCGAAACATTGCATGTCTCGAGATGTAATTGCTTTTGTATATTATGCGAGTCGTGGCCTCCACTGCACGCCAATTGCGATAAGTTTCCTTAACACATCCTTCCGGCGCATATTATCGACCTGTTGAGCGCGCGATCAGCGGAATCCTCAAATCGCACTTTGTTGTCGATGCGGACCGACTGCGCCTCCTGCGACTCTCCGCTCCGCTCGTCGCTCCGCCATCGCCATTGCTCCGCTTGCGTCACACTCGTCACCGCCAATATGCAATATATACCTGAAACTGAATTACAAAATACTCTACGATTACCAAAGTGCCCCGAAGCGAACGCGCAACCGTTCACTCGACCGTGAAACGCCCGACACACAAAGCTCGCGTTAAATAAATAAAATTATAATTATGGATAATGGAATCAACGGAGTCACTAATACACAATTCATCATTGTTTTCTGGACGCACTAATTATATGCAATTATGGATCATCGCTGTTCATTTATATTTTAGGTTAGGTTAGCGACTTTTATTTATTTAGTTTCTAATGGTTTTATTATAATATAAATTAAAACCACCAGCGTAATAAATGGTCCGAAGATGACTTGATATTGTGATGTTCTACTTTAGTGTCACTTGCTGCACAATAGTTTCGTTTGATTTTTGGTTAATGAACAAAAAAATAAAAAATTAAAGTCGGCTAAAAGGCCTGCAAAATATTATTTATTTATAACCGTCGCGATCGCTTTAAATTATGCAACTTATATCCTTCTTGAATATAAATTACATTTAACCGTTAAATAATAATATGTATTGGAAAAGCAAATTATTACGTTATTAGTATAGAAAATTTAAGTTTGTTTTGAAAATAAATAACCGAAGGTCTGATATATTGAAAGCGTTTTACGCACCTGTGATATAGGGTCCCATGGCTGCCGCAGAGTGAGTGTTTCACTAGAGCTCCGGCTGGTGTCTGCGCCGTTGCCACCGCACGCAGCAGGCGCTGACGCAACGTCCCTTTAGCCTCGTCCGACCTACGTTAACACAGAGACAGCATTTTTTCATGTTTCTTTATCAGAAAATAATTAAAGTATTCACTATAGGTATATACTAAAATATGAAATTATATATTTTTCTTACTATTTTATGAAATGCTCTATTGTTATTAAAATACGTGACTATTTTACGAGAAACCCACAAGGGCGACCGGTCGGCGAGGACGCGGGAAAACCCTCTAGGCTGGGATCTGACCCACTTCGCACGACCCACGCTGCAATTATACTACTAGTTTACGAGTGACTACAATATTATCTTACCTTGATTTGTATGGTTTAGTTTAGGTTTAGGTTATGTAGGCCCCGGACTACCTGCATGTCTGTAAGAATGATGAACAATCAATGATGTGTGTCAAGCAGTAGTAATGAATAAAGAAGAAATAAAGAATAACAATGATTGAAACAGGAGCAGAAATCTTAGTGCAAGACCCGTCCAACCCCTTTCTATATCAATATCTATTGATTTTGGCAATTTCAGACTTGTAGAATGTAATATGTTGCGGTGGTCATTAGCCCGTGGCGACCTTGACCCACTCCTTGTGCTGATTGGCAATTGTCTTTCGACAATTCTCATACTATACCGTGTGTCAAACATTCACTTATTTATATCTTATCACTGTAAGAAAATCAAAACCCACCAGCCACAAAAAGACTGGCAGGCATCTGTCTCTCGTACTTTTAAGGTAGTATGTATTTAGTTTTTATCTATAAGTAGCTTCGTATACCTGCGAAATGCTAATATTGTTCACAAAATTAGCATTTCGCATGCTTCAGGGTGCACCACCACGCGTGAATTGGCGGCTAGAGTGGAGTTTTGCCCAATAATAAAACATAGCAGATACATAAAATTGATTTGATTGACTCGTTTGTTGATACATTGTCTTATTTAACATACTGAGACTTTTTTCAAGAACCAGTTTCAAAATGTTCGAAAAGGTCGCATCTCCGGAGCTGTCCTCGGTAAATCGGTAATATATTATTCGTATAAGACTAATACTATAAGTTATATTGGTAATCCGCCATAAGGGGCTTTACAGGGTATGGGCACATCGCACCAAAGACACAGAGCGGCAAGGTGGTGACAATCTTCTATGCGATCCTTGGCATTCCGCTGATGCTGCTCTGCCTCTCGAACATCGGAGACGTCATGGCATCGTTTTTTCGGTATCCTCACGTTTTATAACTTTGTATATTAAGAACAAACTTTACACATAAATAGCAAATAAAAATAATCATGGTGTTCCCAATTAGATAGTTCTATAGCCACGCAGTTAATATATTTAATATTCAGGATTCATTTATGTGCCGTAAGGTATTTTGCTTTATATCACTTTAAAAACTTTCATTGGAGTGCGGTGTTGCTATACTAATATGTAAATATATATATATATAATTACATAGGTATATAATTTTAGCTAAGCTTTTTTATGTGTATGTATAAATGTGACGCAGAACGTGTATGAAGGCAAAATTATTTATTACATTTCAGTTTTTTATATTGGCGCGTGTGTTGTTACGTGTGTACTCGGCCACCTAAGGAGCGACCGCGACACCGTAGGTGAGTTGAGAGCTCACGGGCCAGGCCTAAGGTCGCTTTTTGCTTCACCATTGACCGACGTATATCTGTCTACAGACGGACCGCACGGGGCTCCTCGCGCCGCCGCCCCGTGGAGCGTTCGAACTCCGACAGTGGCCCCCGTAGCCGTGCACACGCGCCTCTTCGCCTGAATCGTCCGCAGCCTCCTCGTCTCCACGAAGACGACGGTAAGTCCTGCGTCCAAATGTTTCGTTAGAAAAAGTTAGTAATAGCTACTGAAAATGTTTTGTTTGCAGAAGAATTCCCTAAGATATCTTTACCACTGCAAGATTTGCAAGCGGCTTTAAACGATTTAGATAAGTATCAAAAAAGAGCTTGCGAAGGAGAAGTGAGCAATAAGTCGGGGCGGGGCGGGGGCGGCGACGGTAGCCGTTACCACTGGAGGGAGTTTGGCCGCGATCTTGACTCACCTGATATTCCAGACCTGCCCGACTTGTCCGGGCCACCACACGTTGCGAGGTATCCGTTACACACTTTCCATAGCAAACGTTCTGGAGACGCCAAATTTGATTAGAGTTGCGCAATCTCGATGACAAAATGATGATAATTATTTGTTGCAATATTCAACTTTTTCTATACAATACGCAATGTTATATTTTTATTCGTTCTATTTGCCAGCAGCGCCGCCATTTAGGTATGTTTACTTTTATCTAAATTTATATTCCGTTCTTGGCTATATTTTAACAATTGTTATTTTTAATAAATAATTTAAATTAGCTGTAAGAATGAATAAAAAAATATGTTTAAAAAAAAGCTAAATTTTATATTGAAGATGACGTATTTTTATACAGGAGTCGTAATTTTGTTTTCTGTTAAAAAAGTTGAATTTAATTTTGAATTGTTTGAAACTGGCTTTGGTGATGTTCATAATCCCAGCTCGTCGGATAAAGTCAAGTCATGAGTTTTGACAATTCGAAGTGATCCAATGGCTCTGAATGCGTTGAAATAATAATACAAGGTCAAAGGTGCTTTCTCATGAAGTACTTTTATGGTGCTTCTCACAGCCAAAAGAGGAATGGCACAAGGCTACCTGGTCTTACAAAATGAGGCATTGGCTTTTTTCGCTCAATATGAGCTCAGAACTAATATTTTTTATATTATAATAAACTATTAATAGAACATGATAGAAGCGAAGACAAAAATATTATTCATCTTTATTTGATATAATATGTTTATTTATTACGTTTCAAAACTAAGTTGATCCCTTACGGCCACTTAATGATGTTTCAATAAACTTTCTTCTGTGTGTCGTGTGATGTGTGACGTTGTGATGTGTAATGTGTGATGGTGATGACGACCCAACAGATGCGATCGCGGCAGATCGGAGTATTTCTCACGTGATCGAGACGAATATCTAAACGACCGACTGAGGGAGAGAAGAGCTCGCAGTGCTTTCTATGAATACGAAAGACGTGCAGGCAGTCCGTCGCGGCGTGCGGCCACCTCAGTACAGAGAGCGGAGAGCCCGGGACGCCGACGGCTAAGGCGGTTACAGACGCTAGACGACTCTAGAGCGCCTAGATATTATGTGAGACCACTTATGCGCTTTCATATAATGATAACTTCTTATAATAATTAGGATTAATGTTTTTGACTGTCTGTTATCCAGTCACCTTCCCCGGACAGAGACGAGTGGAGCGACGAAGGTCCAACCTTGCGACTACCTCGATCAGGTGAGCCCCAACTCTGGTACACCGGACCGTGTAGTATTGGAGTGGCCCGTGTATGATATGAGACATGTTTCAGGCTGGGGCTCTCGCCAATCGGACTTGGTTTCCGCACGAGAAGAGGTGAGCTCGTAGAATTTTATTTACAAATTCAAAGTTATTTATAAAAGTATTAATATTGTGCTTTGTAACAGACAAAACCGGTGCCGATCTGGCTGTGCGTGCTGCTGGTATCGTCGTACATAGTTGCGGGCACGTTCCTCTTCAAGCGTTGGGAGGGATGGGCCTATTTGGACGCGGCTTACTTCTGCTTTATTACCCTCACCACGATAGGGTTCGGTGACTTTGTCCCGGCACAGGGCGCGGCGGCTTCAGCGTCGGCAGCGTCGGACGCCGTTCACTCCATAGCCTTGTGTTCCTTGTACCTGCTGTTCGGCATTGCGCTTTTGGCGATGTCCTTCAACTTGGTGCAGGAACAGGTGCGCGCCAACGTGGCCGCTCTCGCCACGCGGCTTGGCATTATTAAGCCGCGCGACACCGACTACTGAACAATACTAACTAATAAGATATAATATTATAACACAACACACAATCATCAATCAGGTTGCGCTATGTAAAAAACTGCCGGGAAACGATATGATGTCCCAAATGTATAAATTATCACTTCATTTCGTCGTGTATAGTGGTAGTAAGAGGGAATCATTTTCTGCACTTTGACGCACATTAGGTCCGTTGTGCGTTAAACAGTGTTTAGTGGTTAATGTTCTTATGTATATTATGTTTTTTAATATAATATCAATGAAAGTGACGACACTTGATATACAATTGTTAATAATTTATTTATTATTTAGTGTAGATTGACGTACTTATGATTGCATTTCAACCTTCTGAAGCATTTATGTTATCATGATGATAACGATATGTTAATTCATACGGATACGCAATTAATAGAGGCCAATAAAGATAAATAGCCAGTTATATCGTCGACGCGAATATGCTTTGTTTTAAAACTATTTCATATACATACAAGGTATATTATTAACGGCGAAAAAAGGAAGTAAATAACTATTATGGAATGTTGCTTGCAATAATAACTTTTTTCATTAATTAACACGGTCCGTACAAAGTGCCAGTGCAAAATATTTTATGGGTGTGTGTGTGTTAGAAGTCACTCAACACACAGTGTTTTGTAATTATTAAAATATTCGTTTAAATAGTTTTTTTATTTTACCCTTTTCTCTTTTTCCTGTTTACTTTTAGTTTTTGTGAAATATTTGAAATCTATACACCGTATACTATATCCGCGTCTCGGGTAATACCGAATCTGAAACGCCGGACGGAAAACGACGAACGTACGTACGACGAACATAGAATATAATTGGTTGTGTAGGAGCCCTAAAAAGATCAGAAGTCTACTGGGGCGATGAAATGTTTCTTTTACAATACAATAAATATTTGTTTGCCGTTATTCTGTCTTTTTAACGACAACCACTAAAATCTACCTAACCACCTATTTTTAGACCACATTATGTGAGCCATTTTTCTGCCAGCGTAAATTTTAATTCAAACTAAGTCGCAGGATAAAGTTATCACATTGTATTAATAAAGTAGCATTATTCATGTAAACACAGAATGGAACAATTGAAGCGGAGTTTACTCTTCATGTAAAGAGAACGAAAACTTGGTGAGAATACTGTTATGCCAAAAGAATCGAAGTCCGCGCGATCGAAAGAGATGCTATGTAAGTAAAAGTATGTGGCCCATGCTCCGTTGGTACCTATCATAGGTTACGGGAAAAAATGTTCACTAATCTTAAAAATAAAAATGATCTCTTACTGAATTTACCATACTATCGTGATTCTAGAAATCGGTAAAAACACAAGTCTAAAATAATTATATTTCCCAAATGTTAGATAATTTTTATTCGTCTATCAATAATACTTTATGAAGGTTATTAAAACGTTTTTGATAATTTATTTATCATTGCGATTAGTTAACCGGTGCCTTTCAGTACCGAAAAAACGCAGAACACGACATGTCCGCTGGCGAGAGGTCCGAGATGGCCGAGAGGGGCGGGAAACCGGTGGACCTGGACACGATTCTAGTTGACGAGGTGGGGCAGTTCGGAGCGTATCAGATAACGACGCTACTGCTCGCAGCGTTGCCTGTAATTTTTTCCGCGTTTGCCTCCGGCGAGTATATTTTTACCACCGCCCGCGTACCCAGTAGGTGTGTTATCCCTCAATGCGACACCGCCACACCGGAGTATGCACCGTCCTGGATACTCAATGCCGTGCCGGGTACAAGTGTTACGAACTTCGACAACTGCGCCCGGTATGTTAACAGCTCAGTTCAGGTGGCCACAGAGGCGCAGTGCCCGGCCGAGTGGTTCGATCGCTCGCGCACCGAGTCTTGCCAGGGCTATGTCTACGAGAACATGCTCAGCGTCGTCTACGATGTGAGTTTATTTGCCTATTTACAACTCAATGTCGCAATAGTCAATTATCCTTTTATTACCTTTCTTTAGTTCGATATGGCGTGCGATGAGTGGCGGCGTTCACTGATAGGCACCATTCGTACGGTGGGAACTCTTTTGGTACTACCGATAACGGGCTACGTGTCGGACCGCTGGGGGCGTCGGGTGGCACTCACGCTCAACGCCTTCAACACCGGCTGGATTGGCCTCGTGCGCTCCTTCGTTCACTCCTACGAATGGTTCCTGGCTCTCGAAGTGTTAGAGTCGACCGTCGGCGCCGGAGCTTACTCTTCTTGCTACATTCTCGGTGAGCTCACGTTCGCCCGCATTCACTTTGTTCGTTGTGCTCAATTCGACTAAAATGGCTTCAACTATTTTTGTGTCTGCAGTGACCGAGCTCGTCGGACCCGGCTACCGGGTGATCGCAGGCGCCACCATGTCAACGATGTTCGCGCTCGGCCAAGTATTTCTCGGCCTGATCGCGTGGGGCGTACCCTCGTGGCGTCCACTTACGCAGGTGATCTATGCGCCACAGCTACTCGTCGTTACCTACTTTTGGATCCTCTCTGAGTCAGTTCGTTGGCTGCTGAGCAAAGGAAAGTTTGAAGAAGCCGAAGACATTCTCAAAAAAGTAGCGAAACGAAACAGACGAGAACTGTCTGATAAGTCACTCGAAGCGCTGCGGGAGAGTGCCGAACGCGAGAAGCTGACGCCACCCCCGGCTGAGGCCTGGCTGCCCTTGCAAGTACTGCGCTCGCGCGTTATTCTATCGCGTTGTCTTGTGGCGCCCGTGTGGTGGATTACAAATACTCTTGTATACTACGGAATGTCTATCAACGCCGTTAACCTGTCAGGCAACCGGTATCTCAATTACGTGTCAGTCGCAGCTGTTGAGATTCCAGGCTATTGGACGGCTATTCTCCTGTTAGACCGCGTCGGCCGCAAGCCTGTCCTCATCGTAGCCTACACGTTCTGCGCTGCCTGCCAATTCACCTTCGCTTTTCTACCGGAAGGTTTGCTTGTTTTTTTTGATTGATTTGCATCACAGCAAAGTTAAAGAGGTTATTTTATGACTATGTAAAATACATGATATATAAATGTGTGATCTGGTCCTTTTCATAGATGCAGGCAGCGGTGCTTCGCTTGCAGTGTACTTGCTAGGTAAGTACAGCATCGCGGTGGTGATGACATCTGTGTACGTGTACACGGCTGAACTATTCCCTACACGGCACCGCCACTCGTTGTTTGCCTTTGCGTCAATGGTGGGGCGGTTGGGCTCTATCACGGCGCCGCTGACACCAGCACTGGCTCAGGAAGTATGGGAGCCATTTCCATCCGTATTGTTTGGGTCATTTGCGCTAGCATCGGCCGCACTGATCCTCACCACGCCAGAGACTCTGGGCACTACGCTGCCTGACACTATGGCCGACGCTGAGAACCTCGCAACTAAGCGCTAAGCGTCTGCAAGTTTTGGCATTTATAATAAAGGCTTGTCAAGGGAAATTAAACATCCATCAAATACTTGATTCACTAAAAGTCACTGACTTTACATAAACTGTATCAACAGAATAAGTGAAATGAGCAATACACATGCGCGTTTATGTTAAGATTCTTAAGAAAATGTTTATATATTTAATTAAAAATGTAAATGTGCAGTAAAAATACAAACAGAATTTAACTAAACAAATATTACAGCTTAAAAGCTTACAGCTCGCCCTTTCCTGACAATGTTTGCGTCTCAAAAAGCACCTTACGATTTAAACTATTGTAACATGTAAAATTTATGTAAAATTGCAATTTTAATTCTAGAATGATATCAAATGTTGATATTGACTGATACTTAGGTAACACTGACAATGTTTAGAAAATGTAAAACGTACACGAAATCAACGCGGGCGGGAGTTGGATCAAAATATAATATGATATAAAGTATTCAATATATCATATTATTTTTAATAAACTAAAACATTCCCAATATAATATTGTGAATGATGTTTTTGTTATACAAGCCTAATTATTTAATTGAATATTATTAAACATGGTTTGTGCAATTATTTGTACACTGGTACACTGAAATCTTTAACGAATCAAAGTTATTGATTTATAGCAAATTATAAACTCGACATCTTCGAAGTCGTAAAAAATTTATTTATAATCACACTTTCTAAACTCAAAATACCCCAAAATATCCGAAATGTAAGAATTAAGTATATTAGTCATATGAGATACATCTTATTATTTTAACTTTATGAGCGTGATATAATTAAAATATTGAATTTTATATAAGGTTGGGGAAAAAGTCTTTTCGCATTATAGTATGTATGAACTTGTAATAAAATCTCTTTGGCTATACTATATGTATCTGGCTGGTTTTGTTATCAAGGAAAGTTGAGATTTTAAAGAACATAATTCCAAAATCAAATTAGGATAATGTCTGTTTTTTATTTATTTTTCGTACCGTCAAGATGAGTAAATCGAATGAAGAAATTCGATACATTTTAAAATTTTACTACAAAAAAGGTCAAAATGCAACACAAGCCGCGAAAAAAATTTGCGATGTTAATATGGCCCTAGCGCAGTGTCTGTGACAGTAGCACAAATTTGGTTTAAGCTTTTTCAATCAGGAAATTTTGATGTTAAAGATCCAAGTCGCTCTGGTCGCCCTATGACAGATAAAATGGATGCCATTTTTGAAAAAGTGAAGCAAGATCGGCATATCAGTAGTTACGACGTAGTTGAAGAACGGGGAATTGACCACTAAACAGTTTTGGCGCATTTGAAAAATACTGGGTACACAAAAAAGCTCAATATTTGGGTACCTCACGAGCCGAGTAAGAAACCTAATGAACCGTATACTCATTTTTGATTCTTTATTACGACTTAATGGAACCGAACCATTTTTGAAGAAGCTGATAACTGATGATCAGAAGTGGATCACTTACGACAAGAACGTGCGAAAAAGGTCGTGGTCAAAGGCCGGTCAGGCTTCATAGACGGTGGCGAAACCCGGGATAACTCGCAACAAGGTGATGCTGTGCGTGTGGTGGGATTGGAAGGGCATTATTCATTATGAGCTGTTACCACCAGGCAGGACCATCGATTCTGAACTCTACTGCGAACAACTGATGAGATTAAAGCTAGAAGTTGAGACAAAGCGGCCGGAATTAATCACCAGAAGGGGTGTGGTTTTTCATCATGATAACGCTAGACCTCACACATCTTTAGCCACTCAGCAAAAACTGAGAGAGCTTGGCTGGGAGGTGATAATGCATCCGACGTATAGTCCTGACCTTGCACCTTCAGATTTCCACCTGTTTCAGTCTCTTCAGAATTCTTTAGGCAGTGTCAGGTTAACATTACGAGAGGACTGCCAAAACCAATTGTCGCGGTATTTTGATCAGAAGCCCCAAAATTTCTATAGCAATGGGATCATGTCCCTACCTAAATGATGGCAAAAAGTTATCGAACAAAATGGTACCTACATACTTTAGTTAAATGTAAATAAACTATATTGAAAAATGTTTTGAATTTTCTCAAAAAATGCGAAGAAACTTTTTCCCCAACCTATTGTTCTAATTTTAACATTTTTGTTTAAGTTTGACAGTTAAATTTCAAAACTTACATAGAAACCTCAAACACAATTATCATCCTTTCATTCGGTCTTGCGATTCCAATACGTGTCAGCTTATAGGCGGTCTTGGTACGAAAAACTGCCATTGACTTTGGGTACCTAGACTCATCATCATCTCAACTGGATTGTTTTAAGAAAGTTCATGGTAGGCCCCCAGACCTTTCACATATCTAATTATTCACTTAGGATAATATGTCCAACTCGTTAATTTGATATTTTTAGCGTCTCAGATATCTTGATCAACATCACTTTTCGGTTATCCTAAATTATTTTGTGGTAATTTTTAATGTTTTCGTCAATGCTTTATTACCTTACTCAAAATATGATAAGTTTCTTCTCTCAAATATGACATAATAATAGAACGACATTACTCTTACTAAAAGTAGTTTCGCCATCTATCCATCCATTCCATCTTTACCAACGAACTTTTCAATAAATACACTTTTTTTTTTTTTTTTTTTCAAGACAATTCACACCAATTGACCTAGTCCCATGCTAAGCTGGTGAAGCTTGTGTTATGGGTAATAGGCAACGGATATACATACATATTATTATAGATATATAGATATAAATACATATTTAAACACCCAAGACCTAAGCACAACACCAAATGCTCATCACATCGATGTTCGTCTCAGCCGGGGATCGAACCCGGGACCCATGGATTCGCAGTCAGGGGTACTAACCACTAGACCAATGAGTCGTCCGTACACATGTACCCTTTTTTCTACTTTATTGACGCAAAGTATACTTTAAGGTTTTTGCAATCACGCTTTATTTTCGAAACCAGACAAATCTTTACGACACTTTAAACAGTTTCATGTGCAGTGCTAGACATCAACTTTTCGTATTAAAAAAGAAGTATTGTAAGTAGTCAAGTTAATAGTTATTCGTCCGGAAAGTTCTAATTTCGTGTTTATAGATTATTGGGTTCCGAAAATTTTGAAATTATCGATACCTACTCGTTTGTATTTCCTAATTAGTACTTGTATTTCATTGTTTCCAACTTTCTGTATTATTTACTTCTTACTAGAATAAACTGTTTACTTTTGTATCCAAAAAGTACCCAAAACCGAATCAGAGCATCCCTCTATCCACGTGGTCTTGTCTACCCTACCCCTAGAGTGTATATAAAAAGGAGGAAGTGCAGCCCCACCCGCTGTAACAAAGCACAGGCATTATGCAAATAAAATGCCTGTGCTTTGGTACGCGAGGGCGTACAAAGCCTGGGTAGCGCCGGAGCTGTCCAAAAAATCTATTATTATTAATGTTCGGTTAGGTTAGGTTAGTATATAATAAAATAATAGTATATAATAAAAAATAAAATATAACAAAACAAAACAAAAAAAACTACTAAGTTACCTACTGGAAAAATAAATTAAATTTATTCATACGGATATCCCTATGAATAGCCGCAGCCTATTTTTAATTTGTCGTTGGTTTTATAAATAAGAATATAATGTATCGTGAAATTTGCACTTAATAAACTTATATGAAATGGTTAGAACAATAACTGCTTTGGATTAATCTTCCTTTGTACGATCGCTACATTTTCCGGATAAAGAAAATAATATGTTGTCTCGCCACTGACTTAAATTTACTTATCTGATTACAATTTTTTATGCACGATCATGAACCTTTTTTGCTGATTATTATAGTAAAATGGCGAATAAGAAGTAAACAAAACATTAGGTCTGTCAAGGGTCTGTCAAGCGGGAGCACAGCACATCTGACGGACAACTTCAACCGAGTATATAACGTTATAAATGAAACAATTATCTAGTAAATAATAAGATTCCGACGTTGGCTGCGGTGCAGGTGTGTGTTCGGTGTCACGAACGCCACTATGGGCTCCTTCCACGTGGGGTTGCTGCTACTGCTGGTATCGAACATGATTTTGCGATCTGAAGAAGCACAGTCCACTTTTAACTCTAGCAGTGAGTTTGACGAGGAAGAGAGTGACTCTGTTGCTTACATGGTACCTACACGCAAACACCTTTCTAGTATGTGAAAAAATAAATCTCCATCAGTTTTACTTATAAACTGCTTTTACGCTTACCAACTTACAATAAAAACCGCCAGAGAATAAAATGTAGACTATGCTTAATATTTTATCGCTCGAGGTTGTGGGATTAGCGAGAGAAAAAATATGCGGTAAGATCTAAAAACATTAACCTGGCCGAAAGGCGAGTATGATGCAGTTTAAACCTTGAGGTTTGAAGCGAAGTATGTTCACCGCCTAGAAATCAGTTTGTACAGTATATGGCCATTTTAGGTTTTGTTATATAATAGCATTAAAACCGCTCGTCTCCGGCAATAATGAATTGGTAGTGGCTTATTCTATGATATGAGATATCTTTTGAGATACTTTTTAATTAATTTAGACGTTTTAAAGCCTCTTTTCGTGAACGGCAGATAATAGTTGAGCACGGGGAGGGACAGCGATGTGCGGGCTCTCTCGTCTCGCTGCGCACGGCGCTGTCAAGTGCGCGATGCCTGCGGCTTAGCACCCCGCGCGCCACGCTCTGGGCGTTGGCGGCGGCGCTGGTTGTAGGCCACGGAACGGTGCGTGCTGCGGATGGAGCTCGGCGTGTAATTCGGGTGGCGTACGCCGGCACCGACTCTGCCGATCCCGCCAACGACTTAGCTCTCCTTGCCATCGACGAGCCATTCGGCGAGAGCGCGCAGTCGCGTCCAATCCTTATGGCGACAGCTGCGGGCGTGTGTGACGCGGTGCAGGATTGCAATGCGGTGCGCGCACTGTCTCGGAACAACGCGCATGGCGCGCAGGCTTTGCTCTTGCGCGTGATTAGCGTGCACCGGGCACCACACGCCGTATGTAACGCGCGCGTGCCTCACTGGGCTGCTCTCAAAGACCGTTCGCTTTGCCTGAAAGGAGAAACACTCTGCGAGGCAAGTAATGTTGTATTGTTTTCAAAAGTAGAAGAATTTTAGCTTTATTTCCGTTCATTTTAATTTACAAATTTGATAAATGGCTTGGAAATGGTAATACACAAACAAGTATATTTTAAGTGGTCTACATAGAATGATGTGGGCGGTGGTGTTGTGTGTGCCGGCCTACTGTGCGGCGTATTCAGCGCGGTGGGTGCGAACGAAGCGGCGGACGAAAGGTGCGGTGATACATTTGGAGCGCTGACTGTAGCGCGTTGGCGTCGCTTTTTGCATTGTGCCCACACACAGCGACTGTGCGGCAGGTGATGAGTACCGCATTTAAATGATTAATGAAGAGGCACAAAGTAAAAGTGTCGGTTGGTAGTGTAATACTTAACTCATTTTTTTTATACTCACACAGGGGTGACTGTGCGTCATTATGCACGGAGTACTGGTTAGACGGCTCCGACGAGCCCTCTCCGGCCGCATCATTCGGCTCACCCATTCAGACTCTCGTGGAAGATGTTAATCACGCTCTGACAACGCCAGTTCGTTCATCATCACATTACAACAGTATGTGCAAATTTATTCGTTTATTTATTGATTCATCAGCAACAAAATGTGATATTAAAGTCACTAATATTGAAAGAGAATCGAAGGACTGGTACAGCTACTGTGGTGGGAGTGGTGGCTACAGCATCTGCTGACGAAAACTTATAATAACTTATTTTAGAACTTGAGAGGAAGCTTATCGTAACAGACCACAACAGTGGAAGCACTAGCAGCCCTATGAGTACTGGCAGAAGTACAAGCAGCCGCGCTGCCGTTCAGGCGAGTCCTACGCTGCGACTTCTCTCACGCACGCCGCTTATTTATGAACTCAGGCCTTCTGCTGACTTTGAACCCAATCGAGCCGATTTTAAGGTAAATATTTCTAAACCTGCGCCGTCGTTGCATTAACTATACTACAATACTAACGGAAGAGTGATCAAGAATACGATGAAAATTGAAAAGGTTTGATTCGTGGGGAATTAGTGGTACAAAGTTGCATGCATACCCGGAAAGTGACTTGGTTCTTTGTATAAAAAATCTAACAGCGCCCGTGGTACGCGAAAACGTAAGATTTTTATACAAAGCCTTGTACAATTGATTGTTGAGCTATCGTACACTCACGGAGAATTACATGAGTTTGTAAGCAGGTGAACTTGTGCACTTGATTATGAACGAACTTAATGAGGAAGGGCATCCCATGCAGGACGTCCTTAAGAATGGATGCCTTTTGATTGTAGGTTGTAAGGTAATGTGAGTGTATGAAGCGAGTGAGTTAAATAAAAGGCGTGAGTTGTTTCTAAATGTAGTCAATTTGTAGGGCTACGAAATAAATTTATTACAATAAAAATTTTCACTTTTTGGATTTCCGCGAGCAAAAAGCAAGTTATTGTTTGAAGATTTGGCGCCGCAGACGCGGACAGGGGTGATTTACTGTTTTATCTATAATAAGATTAATTTTAGAATGAATCGATCGACCTGGCCCCATTAATGAGTTGTACTCACATATACTCGCCAACTACGATTAATGACTTCTTGATAGAATTCATGATTATGAAGGTTGGACTGTTAGTCCGTACAGTCGCCGTTACCTGCGAGAATATTTGAGTATGACTTGCCTTGTCTCGCGCGGTGGACATGCGCAACAGACCTTGTGTTGTGTGCGCGCAGAGGTCCCGCGTGTCGCTCAGCACACTAGCACTGTCCTCAATGCGCTTGAAGGCGGGCGAGTACGGTGACAACGCGGTGGATTACGGAGCTCCGCCGGACGAAGCCCTGCCCTCGTCGTCTTCGCTCGTGCCCACCCTTCGGCGATACGTCACCAGCCGTCACACGAGCCCTGGCTCCGCTTCGCCTTACCGCCACTGGGTGGACCCACTGGCCCAACCTCAGACTGACACCCATAAAAAGAAATTGAAGACATCGAATGCCAGTGGCACTAATGACATTAACATTGGAATTCTGATTACAATTCCCACTTTAGTTACTATAAATAGATAGATTTGTATAATATGTACTCTGTAACGTTCTGATGCTCCATAATATATTTGAAATCCAATTGCTGTTGTCAATGTCATACTACCTATTTCTTATACAACCTAGTAAAATCGTTATGGCATTTTTTATAGTAAAATTAGTATAGGTGTAATATGCATATTATCGTAACAGTACAAGGAAAATGTAATTATCTAAAAACCCGACTTTCTCATACATACATATTGAGATTAAATTGGTCGATAAATTGAACACCATTGCAAATTCATTCATAGTAGACGACGGTGAAAAACGGCAACGCCACGCATTAGCGTGCTAGTTCGGTAGGATTAAAGAATACGACCGGGATGAAAATATTATAGCTAAGTCCACTGGTATCGAAATAATAACAAATTCAGATTAATACGATACGATTGTTTACTTTGTAGATGGTCAAAAGTGAAAATGTATCTTTATAAAAAAATAAATAAGATCAAGTTCGATTAAATTTGGTTAACTCACGTTATTAGACTTAATGTAATAACCATTGTAACAACCACCACGTAGAATAATGTGATTTTGTGATCTTTCATTCCTAGGTGTAAAGGGCAAAGCACGATGCGGTGTGCGGCCCGCGACTAGCTTTGAACTGAGCTGTCGGCGACAACAAAGAGTTTTGTGTGTTGTTATAACCTATCATAACAAATGAGTCGATTACTTTATATTGCATGTACGACGATTATTTTGTGAATTGAAATTATTATTTTTAATTTTATTTTAAAAGGCACACTAACGAAACACTTACAGAGAACACATGACATAGAAAACAAGATAACAAGTGTGCACAACATTTAGAGGGAAACATGATAATGATAAAGATCTACCATTGTAAAATGTTTAAGTTATTTTCTCTTAGTAAAAAACAAACTAGATTAAAAAATACAAACGTGCAATTTACAAATATAAAAAAAAAACAAATCATTTTCTACTTTTGTAATCACTATTGGTCACGGATCAACAGTGGCTGCAGCATCTTACGCCTGAAGACATGGAGACTGTCATTAAATGGATCTGCTTCGCATGTACTCAGAGCGTCGTTTAATGATTTCACCGATTTCAGCAGGGCCTTCGACGGGGTGAGCCATGTTATGTTGATACACAAACTCTCCTCTATTGGAATTGATGGCATATTTTTAAATTGGTGCAGATCATATCTGTCAAATAGGCAGTCAGTAGTTGTAGTTGGTGGGTACAAATCCAAAGAATTCACTGCCATATCTGGAGTGCCTCAAGGGTCACACTTAGGTCCATTATTCTTTAAAATTTTCATCAACGACATCGGAAGCTGCGTTCAAGGGTCTAAATTCTTGATGTTCGCTGATGATTTAAAATTATATAGAACTGTGAACTCACCCGAGGAAGCAATGTCACTGCAAAATGATCTGGACAATTTGATAATGTGGTGTAGTTTAAACGGAATGAATTTGAATCCTGAAAAATGTCATGTTGTTCGATTCAGCAGGAAAAAACGCTCGCCAACCAGAGTCTATCATATTAATCAGGCATTTCTTAAGGAAGTCAGCCATACTCGGGATTTAGGTGTGATTCTGGATGGTAAATTGCGTTTTAACTTGCATGTTGATGATATTACAAATAGGGCTTTTAGGATGTTGGGCTTCGTCCTGCGTAATTGTAAGGAATTTAGGAATCCCAGCACTAATGTTACAATTTACACATGTCTCGTACGTAGTATTCTCGAATATTGCAGTCCTGTGTGGAATCCGCATTACGGTATCTATATCAAGCGCTTGGAGAATGTACAGAAGCGATTTTTATGGCACCTATCCTATGGTTGCAACATGGCTAGGAAACTTCCTAGTTATAACGATCGTCTATTACATTTTCACCTTAAATCACTTCGTCATCGTAGAGAGCTGCTTGATATCATGTTTCTGTATAAACTTATAAATGGAATTTTGGATACCCCTGATATCTTGTCCAGAGTAAACATTTCTGTTCCTAAAAAAGCTGCAACGATTTGCAAAGCCTCCTTTCAGAATTAAGTTTGCAAAATCAAATCTGGGTCAGAATGCTCCATTAAATAGATCTTTAAGGAGTTATAATTTAATTCATAGCGTTGAAATTGATGGTGGTATTGGATCGCAATGGGGGGGTCGTGAATTCCCCCAAATAGATCTGTTTTCAAACTCCCCATCAATTTTCAAAAAGTTAGCGGCTCAGCTGATTACTCATTAAGACTTTATGGGGGTTATTCAATTAATTCAATTAATTTTGTAATGTTTTTATTTTATTTTATCTTAACTTTATTTTTTCTTCTTTTAATGTGTTTATAAAAATTTAGAATGTTGTATGCGCCTATAATTGGGGTAGCACTTGGCTTTTTGTGTTTGTGTTACATTGCTTGTATTAGTGTTTACTTTGTTGGTGCATAAATAAATAAATAAATAAATGTCGATAGAGATCTGTGTAGAGGAGCATTACAACCGACGTTGGTCCTCACTGCCCGAACGTAAAAAAAAGGATTGATGTGTTTCTTGTGTTCCTCTTTAAGAGGAAGTTCACTTGACTTAAAACATTAGGTAAATTTACCAAGTTATTTAAAATTTTGTAATCAAATATAATGTCGATAAGGCGGCGTCTATCGCGTATAGTCCGGTCAATTTAGACATCCAAGGTTACAATAATTCGCACTTGGCTGAATATTGGTAGGATTGCTCAATACACTATTATAAAGGAAATGTGAAAAGTCCTCATCGATCCGGCACGTGCAAAAAAATTTACTCCAGTTCTAAGATCACAAAAATGGGTTTTTCGCGATTTTCAGCAAAATGGTAAGTTTTATCATAAAATTAGTGTAAACAAAAACTGTAGATCAGATAATTATCTATGAAAAATGTCCAAGTACTTTTTTCCTAAGAGCCACCGTTTTTGAGATATAACGATTCAAAAAGTTGAAAGAGTTGTAATCGTCATAGTATGCACACGTTTCCACGCCACCTTTGAGGTAGTGTACTTAGCGCTTTTTTTTAATGTGGTTTCCCCGGTAGGCCTATTCCACTGATCTTTTATGACTCTGTTTAATTTGAAACTATTGAATAACTGTAGATATTGACAAGGGTTGAAAATGATGAAAGGGGTGTAAATTACAAAAAATAAGAAAATTTATCCGTCTGAATCTAAATCATCATTAACTTCTGCTTTATCTTGTTCTTGTTCTTCTTCTCTTCCTTCTCCTTCTTCTCCTTCTTCTTCTTTATCTTCTTCATTCTGGGTGTTAATAAATTGTCCCAATAATGACACACAAATACACACAAAAAACACGTGTTTTCACTCCAGAGCGATGTTGCTGAAGGTTACACTGGCGTAGAAAATAAAGGACTGGGTTTTTTTTACCCGAAATTTTCATATTTTATATGTGTAAGTCACACTGACCGATAGAACGATATTTTTGCTTGTATTACGGCTTCAGTGATGTATATACGTGGTGTACTTATACATATTATGACGATTACAACTCTTTCAACTTTTTGAATCGTGATATCTCAAAAACGGTGGCTCTTAGGAAAAAAAGTATTCAGACATTTTTTATAGATAATTATCTGATCTACAATTTTTGTCTACACTAATTTTATGATAAAACTTACCATTTTGCTGAAAATCGCGAAAAACCCATTTTTGTGATCTTTGACCCGGAGTAAATTTTTTTGCACGTGCCGGATCGATGAGGACTTTTCACATTTCCTTTATAATAGTGTATTGAGCAATCCTACCAATATTCAGCCAAGTGCGAATTACTGTAACCTTACCCCTATTTTTTAGTCTAATTTGACCGGATTACGTAGTGATTGCAAGTGAAAGAAAGCTAGTCTTTTTTCATATGTTATTATTTAATCGGCATAGACGTTTGGAGAAATGGCGGTTAATTCGTGCAATTCTGTCAACATGGACAGAATACTCAGGGTTCCAAACAACACTACCACAATCCAAAATGCTACGGACCAGAGAATTGAAAAGTATGATTTTAGGCTTAACTTTTTTAAAACACTTAGTCGACCGCCTTATGAAACCTAATATTCTAGAAGCTTTATTGACTATTGATTTATAATGGGGTATGACGAAACGATAAATTATTACCTAGTATTACTCCTAAATCCCTAATTTCATGGAGCTTGAGTAGTAGTACTCCGTCGATAGCGTATTTAGAGGGTACTGGTAGTTTCTTTTTAGAGAAAGTAATTTGCGAACATTTTTTGGCATTTAGAACAATTTTGTTATGATCGCACCACCTCTGTATACCCACTACGTCACTTTGCAATAACTACACATCATGTGCGCTATTAATTACTTTAAAAATTTTCATATCATCCGCATAAAATGAAAAATTACAATATTTTACAAACAAACCGATATCATTTACAAAAAGAGTAATTAGAACAGAACCAAGATGAGAACCTTGTTGAACACCTGATGTGGAAGTGTATGATTGCGATTCTATACCAACAACTGCCACAAACTGAGTTCTATCTATCAAATATGACGCAAACAAACATTATGTACGAGTTCTAGTTAAATAGAACGTAAAAGTCTTTAGAATAAAATACACTTTTGGAACAAATAAAACTAAAGGCTTTTAGTAAGAAACTAACTGCAGTTTCCGAGAAGGTAGGTTTACTCCTTTTTGCGGCACTTCACTCATACGGTTTAGTGATGTCTAAGAAAGTTCTATTTGTAGTTGGCATACTTACACTATTCACATTTATTTGTACATATAGTTTATTAGTGTAACCCTAAACCCCTAGGGTTTGAAACTATTTCTATTCTACACATCTACTACTACTTTTCTTCTACTACTGCTATTCTCTACTTCTACTATTGAATTTTTACAAATCAGAAATTCTTTATTCGAGCCTGTCCAGAAAGTGCGAATTACGCGCGTGTCTGCTCGGCCCAGAACCGCTAGTTAGCGCTTGCTTTGTTTTATCGACAATTTGTATTGTCTGTCACGG